AAATTATTATGGGAAGCATGTGGTCGGCTTCGTCATATCAGCAGGCACTTTGGCCACCAAGTTCTCGAAGTCCAATGATGGTGGGGCCATGTTTGGCTCGCACATAACTACAACGGATAATTATTGCGATTGCATTCACTTGTGTCATCTCCCATGCAGTCGCTTTGTCCACCATGGCAGATCGACCCCTTTCCCATTGATCCAAACAGTACAGCAGCAGTTGGTCCAATCAATTCATAGATTAAATTGTGCCAACCAATTCCAGCCCAACAAAATATATGTCCCGTCATACCAAGTGAAAAACTAAAAGCAACTCCACTTAGTATCCGCAACTTCTCTACCCGTTCCCTGATAGCAAGCAATGTATCGTCAACAAGACTGGCATCCCCCTCGGGTACACACCTAGTTAAAGGTAACCCAATTATTTTCTCGTGAAGAGGTTGATCAACCTGGGTGAAGCCCCTCCATCCACTAATATTTTTACAATGACATCTGGAATTCTGCCCTCTAAAATATCAGTGTAATCCGCAGCAGCTCCTTTATTTAGTCGAGTGCGATTGACCGCATAGTTTGGGACTGTCGGTTAGAATTGCCGCTGAACGATTGGCTGAGATCCTAGCTCTAGCTCTATCAGATGATCGAACGGTCGCTATGGCGGTAACCCGACGGGTAGGTCGTCTTGAAATTTTCATGGGAAGTGCGTGGTCGGCTTCGTCATATCAGCAGGCACTTCGGCCACCAAGTTCTCGAAGTCCAATGATGGTGAGGCCATGTTTGACTCGCACATAACTACAACGGATATTTATTGCGATTGCATTCATCTGTGTCGTCTCCCATGCAGTCGCTTCGTCCACCGTGGTAGCTCGACCCCGTTCCCATCGATCCAAACAGTACAGTAGCCGTTGGTCCAATCGATTTGTATATTAAATTGTGCCAACAAAACCCATCCCGGCAAAATGTCTGTCCCGTCATACCAAGTGAAAAAACTAAATGCAACTCCGCTTTGTATCCACAAATTCTTTGCCCGTTCCTTGATAGAAAGCGCTGTATCGTCGACAAGACCGGCATCCCCCTTGGGTAAACCCCTAATTAAAGGTAACCCAATTTTTTTGTCGTGACGAGGTTGATCAACCTGTGCGAAGCCCCTCCATCCACTAATTTGTTTACAATGACACCTTGAATTCTACCCTCTAAAATAGCAGGGTAATCCGCATCAGCTCCTTCTTTGTTTAGTCGACCGCATAGATTGGGACTACCACTCGACAAAGGTCGTTGCGGTCGGGCGAGCTCGTTCCGTCAGTTTTATACCCCGTATCTACTGAGTTTTGGCATTTCTCTGCCAGTTGGACCCATGCTGTTCATTACTCCGCTTCCTTTTCTCCTCTAGGCATTTTCTCTTACAGTGGCTCGACCAGTCGCACTCAAAATAGTAGCCCCTTGAAAGGGTTAGTAGCTACATTAGTACTAATGGCGTGTTCAGTGGCGCCCTCTGTCGATCGTCGAGTGTGTTGTCCATTATAGGACACGGGCCTTGGTTTTGTTAACCAATCCAACTGCCCCGCGACTCGAGTCATTTCGAAGAACCTCGTAATGCGATACATCTTAATTTCCTTGGAAATATCGGCGCCCAACCCAGCGAGGTACTTGTCTATTTTCTCTGTCCACTCGCTATGGCGTATTAATTCAACATCATGTACACTGTGTTACACGTCCACGGAATAGTGATACAACATATCGGATGCGTACGTTGTTGTTGCTGACAAGGTTCTCATCCTGAAAAAAAAAAAAAAAAAAAACAACAACAACAACAACAACACCGTGAATAGCCAAAGTGTCACTGACTGCGATCCTTTAGTGCTTTGGTCATAACAGGGTGGTCACGCATCTTTTATAATCCGGTTGGACTGCTCATGTTGGTCGGTTGCAGCGAAATTGTATATGGTGTAACGCAGCCTTACCCATTGCATCCAATTGCAACCCTAACGAAAAGGGTTTCCGGGCTTCCTCCTTCGCCAATTACTATTGAACCTTGCGGTCAAGCTTTATATTGTGTAATAATGCTGGCCAGTTGCACATCGAGACGGCGTTGAACAGCGCCACGATCGGTACACATGGTAACAAATTGCTTCTCAAGTGATGCTACGCTATCGGGCATAGCAGCGATATACTCAATAGTTCTTAGGTCAACCATGGTTGAGTGGCCATCGGTTCACTACATGTCACAGACACACTCGAGGCTAAAATATGTTTTAATAAAAATCCATGACATAATATTGTCAAATTATGTATTTTATATATACCCATTTGTGTAGGCTTGGTAGGTGTTCTACAGATTGTGGATCCTACAGTAAAGAGGACAACCCCCTTCTTGTATCTCTCACTCTTTCTAGTCGCCTCTCTTTTTCTCTTGCCAACTTCTCTCGCTACCTAGCTTAAACCTCGTTTTAACTGTTTCAGAGCAGGCTGCTCCTGCTGAGCCTCCTCATCATGCTTCCGCAACATACTCGCTCCCCTCTCGTCCCTTTTGCGCCGTCGTGGCGGCCACGTTGTGCTGCCATGGCGACCTCGATGCGCTGCTGTGGCGGCCTCGACGCGCTGCTGTGGCGGCCTCGACGCGTTGCCGTGGCTTCGACGCCACGCCATGGCGGCTTCGTCGTGCTGCCGTGGATGCTTCGACGCGCCAGCGCACGAACGTCAGCGGCCAGCTCACCTTTTTAGGCGCCAGCCACGAGCACCTTGCTGAAGCACGCCCCTCCCCTGCGTGTGCCCTTATTCCAGCCGCAGCTGATGAATCAATACTCGGTCGTCGCCGAGTCGTGCCACGCCGCCGGGTACTGTGAGCTTCGCAGTCGCCATCGCCGTCGTCGAAGCCGCCGCCGCTGTCGTCGTCGTAGAAACCACCGTTGCTGCCACCCGCCGCCGATGTCGTCGCTTCCCACGAAGGGTAGAAGCCACACCTGCTGCATGACATGGGGGTGCACGGCCTTGGGGGTGTTGCGTGTGGGGTGGGCTTGCGACTACGAAGCCTAGGGGGTGTGTCAAATTATATCTTATATATATGTATATTTGTGTAGGCTTTGTAGGTGTTCTACAGATTGTGGATCCTTCAGTCGAGATGACAACCCCCCTTCTTGTATCTCTCACTCTTTCTAGTCGCCTCTCTTTTCTCTCGCCAACTTCTCTCGCTACCTAGCTTAAACCTCATTTTAACAAATACCCCTCCGAAAAAACCATCACAACGGAACTAGCGCAAGGTACCGTAGGACTGTAGCTCTGTATACCAAGCATTATGAGTGCAAAACAGCGAGAAACGAGAATGATTACACAAAAAGGCAACATCAAAACCAGCCCGGCACTAGGATGTAGCCAGGCACGAAGCAAGGCGAGCTCGGCAGAGCTCGGAACATGTGGCGGGAAAAATGGGTCACGCACGCGACGAACACGAAATTGGAAAAATGCATAAACGTGCATGCGGCCCGGGATAGGTTAAATTGGGAAAACGCGGCTCGGATAAACGCGATTGAAAACGGGGGAACCCCTTTATAGTGGTGTATGCTACAAGGGGTCTCCAAAGTGGGATGTCGACAAATGTCGTTGACATCTGACAACATCTGATGTAGTTTCATGACGATCAAGTCAGGTTTTAGAGGATTATGTAAGGTTTCTAGATCGGTGCTTCGACATCCGGGATGTCGATGGATGTCGTCGGATGTCGCTGGCCACTTCGAACACGCCTCAGGGTCGACCATCCAGAAAGGTTGAATAAGGTCTGGTGGGATTCACTCTGATTGTGACTAAAACACACGTGGTACAGTATGGTGAATGTTAGGTTAGGAAGATGTTATAGAAAATGTTACACGCCCTTACGAATTTGAGCCTGGGAAATCGACATTTCGTTACACTCCCCCACCACACATGGCTGGGGATTTGATCCCCCCAACTGTCGCCGCCCGAGTCACCACCAGCAAGGGCGGTCCAGGCTGAACATAAGGGCGTGTCCAGCGCGTACGTTTTTTTGTCAAAACCCTACCCGACCGTTTTAAATTTGATCCTTCTGATCCTTGAGGCACCTCACCCAACCGTAATCAAACGTACGCGCTGGACACGCCCTAATCATCGCACAAGAATGACGGCGATGCATATCGAAAGCTCGCGAACTAGAAATCTTCGCCTGGCGAAAGTGGGAATGATTGTTGACAGGTGGAAGCTTTGTTGGACAATGGGGCTTGTCAAGTGGGAACCTGTGGCGGGTCGGTCGGGAGAACCAAGGACTCGGAACAATGGCAGAGCGGAGTGGGAATTCAGGTTTCAGGTTCCCCTTGTCGGCGATTAGGTGTATCCCTCGTTTCGCCACTCTTTTCGCCAACAAAGTTGTCACGCTTTTGTCACGGGCCCACCCAACCACCTAATCATGCGCTTGCCTGTCGGGTAACAAAACTATTTCTCAATTCTGTACGGCCGCAGGGCAAGCCAGGGTTCCTCTGCCCTGCACTACTCTGCCAGGGGCTGCACAGGGCGAAGGGGCGTATCACTCAACTCAAGGGCGTCCCCCGCGGCGAGAAGGGAGTGACGGGAATGGGGGGAATGCTCTATGTCCTCTGACCTGTCATGCACCTTGTCAGAGTGACGGCTGCGAGAATGGCTCGTGCCCCGCCCGACCATTGGGGGATGATGATCGGGGCAGTGCTAGTTCCGCGATAAGCTTTCGCTGTCGTGTCATAAGGGCTTGATATGGTGGTCCCTCGACTCGACACCTCAAGCTTTCGCTGTCGTGTCGTGTCATGAGCGATTTGCGAGTCGAGCGATGCGGTTCTGTGAAGTGCTCTGCGGTCCACAGCGATCCGTTTGCACACTAGACTAGAACGAATGGGGGGGTTGGAGGGAGAAGGAGCTCTCATCACGCCCCCGTTTGGCCATTCTCTCCCTGACTCAGGGGAACGAACGAGCGAGCTAACCACTTATCGCGAGCCGAGGGAACCACATCACCTCACGAACGAACGACATTTCCTTACACTCCCCCACCACCACAGGTGTGACACCTGAGGTGATATGGTGGTCCCTCGACTCGCATATCGCTCATTTTCCCACTGAGAATTAAGATTTCTCACAGTACCAGAGCTGCTGATTGCCAATTGCCAATTCTAGTCTCCTAGACTGAGTCAGCGAAACGACATGATCACGATTCAGCCCAGCAAGCTTTGCTTCACCAGGCACGCTATGCCACGTGGCACAATCCTGAGACTGTCTAGACCGCTGCCGCGTGTCACCCTCGTGCTGCTCTTAGTGCTTGGCTTCCTCGTGATCTCCGCGCCTTGGCCAACCAATCATTTCGGATCACCGTCTCTCGAAGCCTTGCCTCGACGACACAGACGACAGCTGCTGCTGCTATCGTCGCCGGGACTGACCACTTTAACGTCAACGTCAACGTCAGCGTCAGCGTCAGATGCTCGGTTTGGGTCCATCATCGCCAGCAAAGCCTTACAAGAGACGATCTTTTCCTCTCAAGAACCATCATCGCAGAGGCATTCAAGCTCGGCCCGAGGAAGCGATACATCTGGAGCTGGTAACTCCTCGATTTCGCCAGCGCACACGGACGGAGCGTTGCATATGCGTCGCCATGTCAGGCCGGATTTCTTTGAGCCAAGTGTCGCACTTTCGGATGTGCCACGTCGCAGCAACGAAAGGCGGCGACATCTTCATGGAGGGAGCAGCGGAAGCGGCATAGGAACCGCTGCTGCTACTAGCGGTAGTACTGCTACGAACAGTGACGTCTGCGTGGCAATAGCTACAACGCCACGTGTCTTCCCGGACGAACAAAACCTGCCACCGTGGTCCTCTTCAGTGTTCCTCCTCAGCATGCTGGAGCAGCGGCGGTCTCCGCCTGACAGCGCAGGCGGCTTTAAAGACATGCGCGTCGTCGTCTACAGCTCCGGCTGCAACGGGAAATCGCCACGAGCCGCGACGGCAGCAGGAAATAGTAGCAGTGCCAGCTCTACTAAGGAGGACGTGGCGGCAGTGCAAAGTTCTCCTGAGGATTTGGAAGAGCGCACGGAGACACTCGCGACAACGGCTCATCTGCGAGCTCTAAGGTTCGCCGCGCGAAGATCTTCGCTGGATATAACCGTGTTACCACCTCGACAAGATGCGTGCGAGTTCGTTGAGCTGGACGCGGAGAATGTGCGAAAAATCGGTGTTACAGACGCGATGGCAAGCGACGGCTGGGAGGCTTGGCGATGGCGGACGAAGCTGGTAATGGATTTCGTCTACGTGATGCGACAGTGCATGGCGACAAAACCGAAATACATCCTGCTTCTCCAAGACGACACTATGCCAGCACAATTTTACGATATCGGTATCGAGAAATTCATTGACGAGGATCTGAAGGGGAAAGAGTGGCCCTACTTATCGCTCTACAACCCCGAGTCGTACTTCTGGGAATACCCGCACGGCGGGGAATACCTAGTTCCGTGCTGCGCTCAGGCTCTGCTTTTCAACACATCGGCAGTGGAAAGCTTGCTAGGGTTTATGGAGGAGCGTTTTCTGGAGGCTCCTATGGATTGGCTCCTAAATCAATACCTCATTCGGTCTAACCGGACGGGATATGTCCACGTGCCGTCGCTGTTTCAGCACCTCGGTGCTGTGAGGACTAAAGCGCCAGGAGTGGTTTCCTCTACACACGAAGACAGACAGTTTCAGGACGACTATGTAGTTAATCTAATGATGGGAGCGTGATCGACTAACGGTGGTGACGGTAGTTGAAATAATAATGTAAGAGGCAGTTCGTCGTCAGAAGTGTAATCTCGGCAGGTACCGGAGTATACCCGATAAGGAGAAGTGACGGTTGATCCTGTTTATAAAACCTCGTGTTCTCATCAATAAAATGTGCATATTGCATATGTATGTTCATGGAAGCAAGCTTTCTATGCACCGTGGTGCTGGAATTTGAAATGAATATAAGAATGCACATTAAACATTCTGGAATCTCGGCATAGCAGATTCATACAAGGTTGTTCGTTGTCGAGGGAGCCGACCAGCTGCAGTTATGATAGCCTCCATTCGTTGAGGGGTTATTTCCTGACCTGGAGAGCCAAGATAATAGGGTGTTGGGAGAATCACATCGCGTGCAAGCGAGAGAACCGAGGACGAAAGCCTGCATGGTAGAGAATAGTGTCAGCGGCCATGCATCCATGTACGGGTGTGCAAACGTGTCTGCTTTTGAGTGTGTGGGGAGAGAGAGGGGGGGGGGGGGGGGGGGGGAGAGGTTGAGTGAGCGTGCGTGTGTGCACGTGTGTGTGTGTGTGCGCGCACGAGCGTGTGTGAGTGACTATTATACACTTACCATGTACTGCGCCAGCCGCTCGTGTGATGCTCTCATTCATCAACGTGCCGCCCACATCGTTACAGCCAGCCGCTAGCAGACAAGAAACGCCATCCACGCCCATCTTCACCCATGAGGCCTGTTGGACAGTGGAAAGAAAGGTGCTGGTACTGTGAGATAGTTGATCTATGATTGGTGGATTGTGCCTGGAAACTCGGGACAGTGCACTTGGACAGAGGTGTTACGGGGTGTTATTCATTACACTCCATGTTGCATTTTGCAACGTAAGAGAATCAACAGGGCACAGGGCAATGCATGTGAAGCTAGATGTCGGACTGCCATGTACCGTAACACTGTGCAATCATACCTGAATGTTCCTGATGTGTGGATGCAGCACCAGCCGCCCCACAGCGTGCATCAGCACGCACTCTCTGAATGTGGGGCCTCTCCTGCACCTGCCCTTGAGGTACATGGGCGCCTGGGGGAAGAGAGAATCGAGGAGGAAGGGGAAATAAGGGGATGCCTAACCTACTGCCAGTCGCCCCACAGCGTGCATCAGCACGCACTCTCTGAATGTGGGGCCTCTCCTGCACCTGCCCTTGACGTACATGGGCGCCTGGGGGAAGAGAGACTCGAGGAGGAAGGGGGATAAGGGGATGCTAAACCTACTGCCAGCCGCCCCACAGCGTGCATCAGCACGCACTCTCTGAATGTGGGGCCTCTCCTGCACCTGCCCTTGAGGTACATGGGCGCCTGGGGGAAGAGAGAATCGAGGAGGAAGGGGGGATTAGGGGATGCCTAACCTACTGCCAGTCGCCCCACAGCGTGCATCAGCACGCACTCTCTGGACGTGGGCCCTCTACTGCACCTGCCCTTGACGTACATGGGCGCCTGGGGGAAGAGAGAAAGGGAAGGGGACGAGTAGTGGTGCATCAGCACGCACTCTCTGGACGTGGGGCCTCTCCTGCACCTGCCCTTGAGGTACAGCGGAGCCTGGGCTAAAGAAAGGGTGGGGGGGAGGAGGAAGGCGGGTCGATGGGATCTTAGAACCACTACCAGTCGGGAGGAGTCTATTTTTGAGGTGCCTCAAAAAAAGGAAGGCGGGTCGATGGGAACTTAGAACCACTAGCAGTCGGCCCACAGCATGCATCAGCACACACTCTCTGAATGTGCGACCTCGCCTGCACCTGTAGGTGACTTTTGAGTCGACTCAAAAGTCGCCTCGCCTGCACCTGTAGGTGACTTTTGAGTCGACTCAAAAGTCACCTCGCCTGCACCTGTAGGTGACTTTTGAGTCGACTCAAAAGTCACCTCGCCTGCACCTGCCTTTCAGGGACAGAGGCACCTTGCAGGTGGGCAAAAAGAGTAACAGTAGGTAAAGATACCCCTCTTTAAAATGCGAGAAATTGAAGTTCCGAACTCTCTGAATGTGCGACCTCGCCTGCACCTGCCATTCAGGAACAGAGGCGCCTTCCGGGTGGGGAGGCGGGGGTCAAGGGGAGAAAACAAAGAGGAGAGAAGGAGGAGGGTGAGGGGTTGGGAGAGAGAGAGAGGGGGGGGAAGAGTTGGTAGAGCGAGTGTTTATGCAACGTTTGCACCACCGCTACGCTGCTTCCCAAGGGTCAACGCGCCCTCGTATGGATCTGTACGCATGTAGGCATGCACCTCAAGAGATACATGTGCTTATGTGCATTGCTCTCCACATGCATGCATGCATGCATGCATGCATATACCCATACCATACACCATATGCACACAACCATACGTCGAGCCATGCATCCATGGATCCATGCACCCATGCATCCATGCATCCATGCATCCATGCACCCATACACCCATGCACCCATGCATCCACGCAGCCACGCAGCCACGCACCCATGCACCCATGCACCCATTCACCCGTGCACCCATGCACCCATGCACCCATTCATCCACGCACCCATGCACCCATGCACCCATGCATCCAGCACCCATGCACCCATGCACCCATGCACCCATTCAACCATGCACTCATGCAACCATGCACCCATGCAACCATACATCCATGCACCCATGCATCCATGCGCCCATGCACCCATGCATCCATGCACCATGCACCCATGCATCCATGCACCCATGCACCCATGCATCCATACACCCATGCACCCATGCATCCATACACCCATGCACCCATGCACCCATGCATCCCATGCATCCCATGCATCCATGCACCCATGCAACCATGCATCCATGCACCCATGCACCTATGCACCCATGCATCCATGCACCTATGCACCCATGCATCCATGCACCCATGCACCCATGCACCCATGCACCCATGCACCCATGCAACCATGCATCCATGCATCCATGCATCCATGCATCCATGCATCCATGCATCCATGCACCCATGCATCCATGCATCCATGCACCCATGCACCCATGCATCACTGCATCCATGCACCCATGACCATGCACCATGCATCCATGCATCCCATGCACCCATGCACCCATGCACCATGCATCCATGCACCCATGCACCCATGCACCCATGCATCCATCCATGCACCCATGCATCCATGCACCCATGCACCCATGCATCCATGCACCCATGCACCCATGCATCCATGCGCCTACCTGCATGTGCACGAATGGAAGCGGGACAAATTCCGTGATGCCACCTGTCCGCTCCTGAATGGCCCGCAGCAGCAGCAGGTGACGTGCCCTGAAGTATTGGGATAGGTGGAAGGGAGAGAGCATAATATTTTGGAGGCGCCTCGGAAAATAGCTTTTAGACGCCTCAAAAAGAGGACGGGAGAGGAAAACCAGGATGTGTGAGTCCGAGCATGATGGCAGAAGTGGTGGTGGGTATGGGAGCGAGCATGTGCCATAATGTGCAATGGGTAGAAGCATAAGGTGGTTACCACTGCATGCACGGGATGGTCCATATGTCCGAGCATGATGGTGGAAGATGCAGGAAGGCCAACAGCATGAGAGGCCTTAGTGCCTATGCATAAAGACGAGCCTGTAACATGGTTACCAGGTGGTACCTGGGTGGTAACTGGGTGGTTACCAGTGCACAGGATGATCCACGTGACCGAACATGATGGTGGAAGTGGTGGGAAGCCCAACGGCATGAGCAGCCTCGATCACCTCGACCCATTGGACGGTTGAGATCTTATCTGGGCACAGCACAGCCCGCACCGAGTCATCCAGGATCTACAGCGGTGGAGACCGGTGGAGGAAAGTGGAGAGGGGTGGGGAGGGGTGGTGAGGGGTGGAAAGTGGAGGCGGGAGGACCAAGAGCATGCTTCATAAGACCAAGAGCAAGTTTCAGAACGGTTCAATACCAGACTTTGAGCTTCTAACAAGAGACTTGGAGCTTCTAAGAAGAGACTTGGAGCTTCTAAGAAGAGACTTGGAGCTTCTAAGAAGAGACTTGGAGCTTCTAAGAAGAGACTTGGAGCTTCTAAGAAGAGACTTGGAGCTTCTAAGAAGAGACTTGGAACTTCTGAGAAGAGACTTGGAACTTCTAAGAAGAGACTTGGAGCTTCTAAGAAGAGACTTGGAGCTTCTAAGAAGAGACTTGGAGCTTCTAAGAAGAGACTTGGAGCTTCTAAGAAGAGACTTGGAGCTTTAAGATGGGAGAAGCTCCCAGAAGAGAGCCAGTTACTCACCTCGGCAGCTGTTCCGGGCACGGAGCCAAGCCCGCATCCTTCAACAGCCTTTAGTGTCAGAGTGAGAGTAGGTAAAGAGATACCCCTGCACTGCCAATCCCTCACCTCGGCAGCTGTGCCGGGCAGGGAGCCAAGGCCCGCATTCTTCAGCCGCCATAAGCATTAGGGCGAGCAGCAGCTTAGAAGAAAAACTCAAGCGTCAGAGTGAGAGTAGGTAAAAATACACCCCTGCACTGCCAATCCCTCACCTCGGCAGCTGTGCCGGGCAGGGAGCCAAGGCCCGCATCCTTCAACAGCCGGAGGAAATGAGGCACGCTGTGGGTGAAGGGGCGGTTGGGGGAGAGGAGAGGGGTGGGGGAGGAGGAACAGCCGGAGGAAACGAGACACGCTGTTGGTGAATTGTGGGGAGAGGAGGGAGAGAGAGGTTGGGGAGGCAGGAAGCTGTGTTCTTGTCTCTGCAGCTGCACCGGGCAGCCGGCAAAGAGCCACGGCCTGCATCCTTGAGCAGGAAATGGCCACACTGCGGGCGAAAGGGGGGAGAGAGGAGTGAGAGGTGGGGAGGCAGGAAGTTTTGCTCTTTCCCCTGCAGCCGTACCGGGCAGGGAGCCAAGACCCCACCTCTGAGGAGTATTGCTCTTTCCTCTGCAGCCAAGGCTCGCATCGTTCAACAGCCAGAGGAGTTAAGGCACGCTGGAAGGGAGCGTTAGGCGGAGCGGAGGTGGGGGGTGGAGGGGGGAATCTATGTGGTTGAAAGGATGGGAGAGCAGCAGAGGAGAAGCATGCGAGAGCAGACAGAAGTAATACTTAGCCTCTAGACAGGAGGACGGGAGTGCAGTGTTGTGGGAGCATCAAGAGGAGAAGCATGCTCATAAATGGGCTGACTTTCGTGTCGGCTCAAAAGAACTACTTAGCAAAGTCACACTGTGGGAGTATCTAGAGGAGAAGCACCCTCATAAATGGGAGGGCATTGGGTTTTCAGGTATAGAATCGAACTTCCACACACACACACACACACACACACACACACACACACACACACATGCGTACCTGCAGTTGAGTGATGTAGCCCCATGCCACACCTCCAGGGGCGAGAAGGCATGCACGTGCATGTCGGGGCATGCCGCCTTGACGGCTGAGAGAATGGAGAGATAGGTGTCTCCGGTGAAGTCTGGGTGTATGCCGCCCTGCAGTGTGGAAGCCAGGGCGTGGGTGTGGAGGCCAGGGCGTGGGTGTGGAGACCAGGGCATGGGTGTGGAGACCAGGGGCATGGGTGTGGGGATCACGGGCAAGGGGGCCATGAGGGAAGAGAGTCCGAGCAGCCAAGCCTTGATGGCTGAGAGGCTGGAGAGATATGTGTCTCTCGTGAAGTCTGGGTGTATGTGGTGAGGGAGACAGGGAGAGAGGGAGAGAGAGGGGGGGGGAGGTGAACGTTGATGGCTGCGAGGATGGAGCGATATGTGTCTCCTGTGACGTCTGGTTGTATGCCGCCCGGAGGTAGTAGGGGAGAGAGGCAAACAGAAAACGTGAAATGGGTGCACGCCCTGCATGCACCCATCTCACCTGCATGCCCCCATCTCACCTGCATGCAGACTTCTGTAGCGCCTCGCTCCCATGCTTCCTTAGCTCGACAGGTGATCTCATCTAGAGGCATGCTGCAGTGTGCATAGCACGGAGTGCGGTGCAACACCATGCGATGCCATGCCATGCCATCCCATCCCATGCCATGCCATGCCATCCCATCCCATGCCATGCCATGCCATGCCATGCCATGCCATCCCATCCCATGCCATGCCATGCCATGCCATGCCATGCCATGCCATGCCATGCCATGCCATGCCATGCCATGCCATCCCATGCCATGCCATCCCATGCCATGCCATCCCATGCCATGCCATGCACACATACACCTCATGCAACACATGAAGAACCAGGAGCGAGCGATGTGACCTTTGAGTCGACTCAAAACCTTTGACCTTTGAGCGATGTCCTCTCAACTCATGCAACACATGAAGAACTAGTGATCGCATGGAGGTGCACAAGCGCACCTTCCACATCCCTCCATGATCGCTTGGGGAATGCGGGCATAAGAGCAGGGGAAGTGTTGCGAACGAAAAAAGTGGCGTGGGAAGGTGGCATGCCGTGATGGCACGATGGTAGGGCATGATGACATGGCACGATGACATGGCACGATGACATGGCGCAATGACATGGCACGATGACATGGCACGATGGCAGGGCACGATGACATGGCACGATAGCATGACGGACTGATAGCAGAGTGCTCACAGGTAAGGTTGGCCTCTCAGGCTATCTGCTGATTTGCCCTTGCTGCACGCACCATAGAGGGTAGGAGGAGGAGAGAGATCTGGGGGAGAAGAGGTGACGCATTGTGACATGACCCAATGGCACAGTAGGGTAATGGGTAAAGTGGGCGTTCATGCATACTTGGAGAAATCTAGTTTTGAGGCGCCTCAAAATGGTAATGGGTGAAGTGGGCGTTCATGTTTTGAGGCGCCTCAAAAATGGCACAGTGGGGTGATGGGTGAAGTGGGCGTTCATGCATACTTGGAGAAATCAACGGCAAGAAGGCTCGTGTGAAGAATGGCAGCACAGCATATCGCTGACGTGGCAGCTTGCCATGCGTGCCTGAAAGCGCAGAACTGGCAGCCATAAGTGCACACGTTGGTGGTGTAGTTGACGTTTCAATGCTGTGATTCACCGCATAGGACCCCTTGTCACCGCTCTCAACCCAACCGGTGTTTGGTATGTCAGGCACGCATGAGAGACTTTGGAAAGCCATCTCATACCTGAAAGCGCAGAACTGGCAGCCATAGGTGCACACGTTGGTGTAGTTGATGTTGCGATTCACCACGTACGACACCTCGTCACCGCTCACCACCGCTCTCAGCTCGTCCGCGGCATTGCACACGGCATGGAAGTCAGCACCACGTGCAGCGAAGAGCCGAACTATCCCCGCCTGATGGGGGACAGCATGTGGAAAATGGCATGATGGAAATCGCACATTGTACATGGCATATGGTGAATGGTATACCGTATATGGTATGGTATGTGGTATATGGTATATATTGTATATGGTATCTGGTATGTATGTGGTATGCGATATATGGTATATGGTATGGTATGTGGTATGTTGTATGGGATATGGTATATGGTATGGTCTGTGGTATGTTATGTGGTATATGGTACATGGTACGGTATATGGCATATGATATGGGATATGGTATATGGTATATGGCACATGGCATATGGCCTATGGCATATGGCATATGGCACATGGTTTATGGTATATGGCTCTCAGCCCGTCAGCCGAACATGGTCCACAGCATTCCATGGCATGGCAACCCCTCAATGCGATGCGGTCTCATCTCCCTTCAGACAGACTGCGATGGTTGGTACTCAGCTCCATCGTACCACCAATCCCAGTGACCCTGCTATCATCCCACCACCCCCATTATCATCGTCCCACTACCCCCATTATCATCATCCCACCACCCTCATTATCACCATCTTCTCACCTCAGATAGGGTGCGCCCTTCCAACACTCGATCAAGAATGCATGCCACGTCATCACTTGCCCTCCCCACGTCATTGCTTGATTGTGCCACATCATTTTTTCGCCTCGCCTCGTCACTTGGTGAGGCGTCCACGTCACCACTTGCGGCATATCTGCTTGTCCCCGTCAGCAGCCCATCTGCTCCTATAGCTATACTTTCACCTCCTCTTTCCTCCAACCGTTTCTCCTGAGAAGCCGGAAGCTGTGCTTGCTGTGTTGCTGCTCCTGCTGCTGCTGCTGTTGCTGGTGCTACCGCCCCTGCTGCTGTTCCTGCCACCACTGCCGCAGTTGCTGCTGCAGAAATTGGCTGAGAACCTGCGTCATCCCCCACAGCACCTTCATTCCGCAGTATCCCCCGTGCATCAGACGGTAGAGGTAGCATGGTGCCAGGCGCCCACTGCTGGCACCTGGCGTACCCTGACGAGTCGGCGAGGCGGAGAGCCGAGGGGACAACAGACGGGTCCTGGGGGGGAGTGAGTGAGGGGCAGAGGGGAGGAGGAAGAGGGGGAACAGAAGCAGGGTCGTGTGAGAGAGTGGCAGTAGCATGGTGCCAGGCACCCACTGCTGGCACCTCGCGTAGCCCGAGGAGTCTGAGAGGCAGAGCACCGAGGGGAGGACAGATGGGTCCTGGGAATGAGGGGAGGGGCAGAAGGGAGGACGAGGGGATGAGGAGCAGTGTCGTGTGAGACGGCAGAGGCAGCATGATTCCCAGCCTGGTGCGCGCTGCCCACAGCTGGCACCTGGTGTGGCCTGAACTGAGGAGTCTATTTTTGAGGCGCCTCAAATAGAGGCAGCATGATTCCCAGCCTGGTGCGTGCTGAACTGTCGGAGAGGCGGAGGCTGCTTTTGAGGTGGTAGTAATGACTGTTGAGGCTTTTGAGGCTTTTGAACTGTTGGAGAGGCGGAGGTCCTGTGAGCGAAGGAGGGGGGGAGGGATAGAGGAGAAAAACGAGGAGAGGGGAAGGGAGAGGAAGGGAGGAGAAGGAAAGGGGTTTTTGAAACCATTTCTGGCACCTGGCATTGCTTGGCACATCCATACAGCCACATGTGATCTAGCCAGCTGTGCTCGCAGCACGCAACCATGTAACCATATTCTCCAGCCACGTGTCACCATCCTCACCAGCCACTTGTCCTGGTTGTGCAGTGAGAGGAACTGCGGGTAGACAGGTAGGCGAGGCACGAGAACCTTCCCAGAAGCTGCGGTGACTGACATGAGCTCCTGAATGTGCGGCCAGGGGGCCTAAGGGAAGGAAAAGGAGGGGAAACGGAAAAAAATCAAGGGGAAAGGAAACAAAAGGAGGGGAAAAGGGCGGGTAAATGACAGATAAAGGACGAAGAAAGGATGTGACGACTGGTGTTGACCCAGTCAACTGTGAGGTTCAGGGACCGTTCCAGTCCAGAGCTCCCCCTACTGACCCTCACCTCGGGGTTGACCCAGTCAACAGAGCCTCACCTCAGGGTTGACCCAGTCAACTGTGAGGGGAGATATTCCTCCCCAGTCGTTGATTCCAGCAGCAATGAGTGCACGCTGGGCCAAGTCACCAGAACTGCATGGGGGGAGAAACAGAGAGAGGAAGGAAGAAGGAGAGCCGGGGGCCTTTTCAGTCAACTTCAAATAAGGCGGCGCTACCTGATTTTGAGGCGAAATCCACCTCCAAGCGTTGATCCCAGCAGCAATGAGTGCACGCTGAGCCAAGCCGCCAGAACTGCATGGGGGGAGGGAAGGGGGAGGGAGGTGGGGAGGGAAGGGGGAGGGAGGTGGTGAGGGAAGGGGGAGGGAGGTGGGGAGGGGGGAACAGATACAGAAAAGAAGAACGAGAAGAAGGGGCTTAAAGGGGCGTGCGCCAATGCAGTCGTCCAAAGCAACTCTTCCGCCCTGTCATCCCCCCACTGTGCTCTGCAGCACTACAGCATCTGTCATGAGCACACTCTCATGAGCGCACTCTCATGAGCGCACTCTCACTCACCTCAGGTTGGGCGGCGACTGAACGCTCATGTCTGCCCCAAGCACGATCCGCGCCATCGCCACAGTCCAGAGAAGCTCCTCTGCTGCTGCATCCTCCCACCCCCCCATGCGTGTGTGCCCCTTGGCACGAAACGGCTGGATGATGACCTCCTGTATGTGCCCATGGCGTGTGTGTAGGGAGGGCCCTTCAGCATACACCTGGCTCAAAGCGTTACTTCTCTTTCTCACCTCAGGTTGGGCGGCGACTGAATGCTCATCTCTGCCCCAAACACTATCCTCGCCATCGCCACCGTCCACAGCAGCTCATCTGCTGCTGCATCCTCCCACCCCCCCATGCGTGTGTGCCCCTTGGCGCGAAACGGCTGGATGATGACCTCCTGTATGTGCCCATGGCGAGCGTGTAGGTCTCGTAGGATGAGAAGATCCTTCAGCCGCTCTTCCCTTGTCTCGCCTATTCCCACAAGGAGACCGCTTGTAAAGGGGACGCGGGCTTCTCCTGCAGTAAGCGGCGGGGAGGAAGAGGGTGCGAGCTGGTGAGGGAGGGCGTGAGTGGAAGACACGGCTGGATGACGATCTGCTGTATGTGCCCATGCGTGTGTGTAGGTCCCTCAGGGTCAGCAGGTCCCTTAGCCGCTCTTCCCTTGTCTCGCCTATGCCCACAAGGAGACCGCTTGTGAAGGGGATGCGGGCTTCTCCTGCAGTAGGTGGTGAGAGGTCAGGGGGTGTGAGAGGGTGTGAGAGCGTGTGAGGGTGTGAGAGGGAGTAAGAGGGTGTGAGAGGAAGAAACGGCTGGGTTTGGGAGCTGAAAGAGCTCCCAGCCTCACACTCGGCTCCTTATCCTTATCCGTACCTTATCACCCCCACTGGGCGTTAACAGCAGCTTGACCCTACCTACCCACGAGCCTTAATCCCTTACCAGCAGCCTCAGTTGCCGCCAGTCTGGTGGTCGGTTCTTTATCCGGACACCCCCCGTGCACCCCATCGGGCTTCAGCAGGCCCTCTGCAGAGCCGTCTTCCCCTTACCTCAACCTATCCACCAGCTGACCAGACTCGAAAACCTACCAGCAGCCTCAATTGTGGCCAGTCTGGCGGTTGGTTCTTCATCTGAACCCCCCCCCCCCCCCCCCCCCCCCCCCTCCCCCGCTCCCCATCGGGATTCAACAGGCCCTCTGCAGTGCCCTCTTCCCCTTACCTCAACCTATCCACCAGCTTACCAGCTCCCACACCATTGAAACCTACCAGCAGCCTAAATTGTCGACAGTCTGGCGGTTGATTCTTTATCCCAGCACCCCCAATGCACCCCACTGGGCTTCAACAGGCCCCCTGCAGAGCCCGCTTCCCCTTACCTCAACCTATCCACCAGCCTACCAGCTCACACACCATCGAACCTACCAGCAGCCTCGATTGTTGCCAGTCTGGTGGTTGGCTCTTTATCCGGATACCCCCACTGCGCCCCACATGGCACCAACACCCCTCGGCAGTGTCCTCCAGCCCTTACCTCTCCGTTCACCTCAAACAACCTACCAGCAGCCTCGATTGTTGCCAGTCTGGCGGTGGGCTCTTTATCCGGACAACCCCAGTGCGCCCCAGCGGGTTTTAGCAAGCTCTCTGCAGTGCTCTCCAGCATCAGCCCCTGGCTGGCCGCTACGTGGCGCAAAAGGACAAGATCCGCCACCCCCATGGTGCCGGCATTGATGTGTGGCAGCAGTCCCGTGCACTGTAGCACTCTGGAGGCGAGATGTGCCACGTAGTGCAGCGTGGAGGGGAAGCCTAGCTCCTGAAGCTGCAATGAAAAAGGGGGGGAAGAGGAAATTGATTAATGAGCAATGATTGTGCACTGTAGCATTTTGGAGGCCAGCTGAGCCACGTAGTGCAGTGTGGAGGAGAAGCGAAGCCTAGATCCTGAAGCTGAGGCAGAAAGGGGGGGAGGGGAGGACGTTGTGGGAGGAGGGCGAGGGGAAGAATAACCACACGAATGCAACCACTGTAGCACTGTGGGGGCGAGATTAGCCACGTAGTGCAAGGTGGAGGAGAAGCCTGGCTCCTGGGGGGTTGGGTAATAACCACACGCATGCAACCGCTGTAGCACTCTGGAGGCCAGGTGCGCTACATAGTGCAGTGCGGTGGAGGAGAAGCCTAGCTCATGAAGCTGCAATGACACAGGATTGGGGGAGGGAGGGAGGGAAAGAGGGAGGAGGAGGGGGAGGAAGAAGATTCCCGTGCACTGTAGCACTCCGGAGGCCAGACGTGCAACATAGTGCAAGGTGGAGGAGAAGCCTAGCTCGTGAAGCTGAAATGACAAGGGAGTTTGGGAGGGAGGAGGGTGGATACAAAGTACCACCACAGTACTGTGCACCGTGGCACTCAGGTCTGAGTTAGCATGCCTTCCTGATCACCAGAGCACAGCGCTCATATTTCATTCCTGTGCTGAAGTCCAAACCACACCACCTCACTTCATATCTTCTCATATCCGCTCTCACATCTGATCCCTTCTCCTCACACATACTACGCTTCAGCGGATTCATTAAGGGTAAGAATCTACTTACCTCTTTCCGTGGCTCTTCATATCTAAGCTCCAGTTTATCCTGTAGCGTAAACAGAGAGCCTCCACACCCCATATAAGACTTACCTCCTTCCGTGCCTCTTCATATCTAAGCTCCGGTTTATCCCCCAGTGTAAACAGAGCCTCCACGCACCCAACCGCAGCTCCGGCCCGAGCCACTTCCAGCACCTCAGCTTCGGTCATGTACGCGCGCCGAACCTGATCCGGGGGCTTGGCAAAGGTGCAGTAGGCGCAGGAATCTCGGCAGAGGAATGTGACTGGAATGAAGACCTTGGGCGAGAATGTGACTATATGGGGGTCCTCACGCTGGTCACGAATCGTTCCGGCTGCTGAAACGAGAGTTTCAAGTGGAAGAGTTGAGATGAAACGGGCCTCTGCTGCTGTGGGTAGGCCAGACGTTCTATCCTCAGAAGACAAGCTTTCAGAATCCCCGTTATTAGAACTCCCACTCTCAGAATCCCGACCCTTGAACGTCCTGCTCCCAATAGTCTTGTTCTCATAAGGACGACTCTCAGAATTCTGAAGGGTGCTGGAACTATCTGAATTTTGGATTCTCGTCGCATTCTGGGCCCGTGCGACTATGACGCACAGCACGTGTAGTCGCTCCGAGTCGCCTGCGACTGTGCCATACGCGCTGTCTGTTATGGGCTCCTGTTCGTCTGCGTTTGCTAGAGTCGTCGATCCCCCCTCATCTGACAAAAGAGGCATGTCTATCGGACGGTCAGGATCGCGCGAGCTCATCCTGCTGACATTCGATCTTCTTTTCTGATTCAACCTGACGAATGGCGGCTCCCGAGCTGAGCGAAGCGGAAATTGCGGAGAGAGGTGCTGACGTGTTAGGCGGAGAGCGGAGGACGTATCATACAGCGGGATTCGTGGCACATGACGTGTCAGTCCGAGGACACAACGACATAGTACGACCTTCCTGGAAACGAATCTAGTACCCGAAGCCGCCTTAATGGTCTCCATTGTGTTCGGGTGAACGAACTAAACATACAATTTCTCTTACTGGTTCTTTCTACTTGTCTGCTTTTAGCACTAGCACTCCTATCACTACTGCTACTGCTAGTACTACCGACTATTACACATACTGGTGGCCACCAGACATGGAATGTCCCAGGTACTGGAAATTGGAACAAGGTATGTCAGGAATCAGGAATCAGGATGAGGGTCAGGGATGTCAGGGATTAGGATCAGGAGTGTGAGGAATGGATTCAGGATCTCGGGGAGTGTGTACCAAGAGAACACGTCCCGCATTCACTGAATGCGGTGTTGTACGGTACGACATGTTGGGAAACCGGTTGTTGCTATTCACCGCTTTGAAACTTGAGGCACCGAATTGGACCGTATACAATGTGCGGAGGACTTGCTCTTGGGCACGCCCTGATCCTGGCAGGAGGAATGCAGACAAGCCTGCTTTTCCGGTGCGCTAGGGGCCACTGATGGCCAAAATTCGCCCACGTTGCCCCTGCTTCAACGACATAAACTGGTTGGTTACATTTATTTCGCAAGAACGAAAGTAACCTCGCCAAAACCTTTCAGGCTCGTGTTGCAGAGACATTTCCTGGTTACATGGCTACTCTCGTACCGTCTTCTTCGCGTACAATCTGCGCAGTTAGCGATCCCCAATTGCGAAGCCAATGTCCAGACTGCCTGGGCACTTCCACTTTCTTGCTGGCTTCTCCCACTGCCACCTCACGCTGACGTGTCACCTACCAGCAGCAACACTGTCTTGCGCTGAACATCCTCCCCCCTGTCGATTATAATTTCTTGGACTGATTAGTTCTTCAGGTTACTAAATTCCTTGCTGTTAGGCATAGCAGCGTAGCTTCCGGAAACCAGTTAATCTTCAAGTAGTAGTCTTCACGACTTTCGCTTCGTCTCAAGCGAACCCATTAATGTATGCTCGCCTCTCCATTTCTTAGACTCCGGCGACCACCGTTACGCCACCTGAAGCTACTTTGTCGGAAAAATCAGTTCGGCCTCTAGCTTGACAACGGATAGGCTCGCTAGTTTGTCGTCAACCGATAGGCTCGCTATCGAGTGGAGGAAATATTGTCGAAGGTTACCCGGGTTACCCGGGTTACCAGGGTTATCAGGGGTACCAGGGTTTCCAGGGTTATCAGGGCTCCAGGGAGGGATTTGAGGCGCCTCGGAAGCATCTTATCAGGGAGGGATTTGAGGGTTGATTAGGGCTCCGGGGAGGAATAGCGAGAGGCAGCCATGCCTCGTTTCAAGACCACCTTCAATGGATACTCGGTACGCGGTTCACGCCTGGCTGGCTCAGTGAGCCGCCTGAAGAAAAGTATTCTCCGGAAGCGAAGCACATTTCTCCGCACTTTACGATTAAGTTCGCGGAGAAACGTGCTTCGCCTCACCTTCTGTTATACTCACCTTCTGTTATACTCACCTTCAGGCTCGCTTCAGTCCGTTCGTGGAGAATCGGCTGGCTGTCGCCGCAATCCAGAATCGGCTAGATTCAATCTGCCTCTGCCTCTGCCGCTGCCTCTGCCGCTGCCGCTGCCTCTGCCGCTGCCTCTGCCTCTGCCGCTGCCATTTCGCCCCGTTCTTTCCAGGCTCGCTTCAGCCCGTTTGTGGAGAATCGGCTGGCCGTCGCCACGGCTCAGAACTTCGGCATCATCGGCAATGGCAGGCTGCACGTCCTCGAGGTCCGCACTCAACCTATCATTGGCATCGCACACCGCACCACACTCAACCGCACTATATCTCGCTGTCCCCACCAACACAGAACTTCGGCATCATTGGCAATGACAGCCTGTATGTTCTAGAGGTATGCGATGGTCAACGTGGCGCTTCTTCGGAGGCCTAAAAGAACGCTATGTCTGCTGCTCGACTTCTTGAGTTTGAACATTGAATGAGTTGGCTTTTGAAATTTCTCAAAAACCAACTCACCTTCTCGAGTTCTCGTTTTCTCAACTTGGTACATTTAATCCCCCCCCCTCTTTCTTTCGCCACCCACTCCCGATTGGTCAGCTCGCCCCTGGAGGAGGTCTGGTGGAAGTGATGGCATATGACACGGCAGATGGGCTCTATGACTGCTGCTGGAGCGAGGTGAGGTGCAGAGTGGTGCAGTGGGGTGAAGCGTGGTGCAATGTGGTGTATTGGGGTAAGCTCCTCCTTCTCTTCTCTCAACTCGCCTCTGGAAGAGTTTTGATGGAAGTGATGGCTTATGACACGGCAGATGGGTTCTACGCCTGCAGCTGCAGCGAGTTGAGGTGCAGTGCGGTGCAATGGGGTGGAGTGAGGTGAGGTTGAGTGCGGTTAAGAACGATATCCTTCTGATGGAGAGGTGGGATGGAGTGAGGGAAGGTGCAAATGTGGTGAAATGCGGTGCAGTGAGAGGCCTGATTCAAACTGGCGCTCCTCTTCCTCCTTCTGGATTGCCATTGCCGTATCTGGCTGCTTCACCGCAGCACAAGGGGCACATTAAATAGGACATAAAGCAGGTAAGGAACGACAGGACGAAAGTTCTGGGTTGCCGTATCTCGCTGCTTCACTGCATACCCACCCGTCGTCGTTCCTCACCCCTTCTCCCCGCTTTATGTCTATTTTTGAGGCGCCTCAAAAATTGACTGTGCTCCTTGTGTTGATTCCCCATCTCCCTCCTGCAGGCCAATGAGAATCTCCTCGTGTCTGCCAGCGGTGACGGCAGTGTCAAGGTGCGTGCGTGCGTGCCTTCCGGCAGTGGTACGACAAACCCCGCAGAGAGTTTGTCGTGCTTGAGTCGCTTTCCTTTTGAACACCACTTGGGTGCCATAAGTCTTTACGTGGCAGCAACTAGAAACGCTTAAATAAGTAAAGAGCTTGCTTGAAAACTCTTGTGAAAAAATGATGGTAACCGGTTTCGGCTCGAGAGCCTTCTTCAGACCGGTAACTCTTGAGTCGCTTTCCTTTCCTTTCCTTTCCTTTCCTCTCCTTTCCTCTCCTCTCCTTTCCTCTCCTTTCCTCTCCTCTCCTTTCCTCTCCTTTCCTCTCCTTTCCTCTCCTCTCCTCTCCTTTCCTCTACCCTTGGCCGCTCCACCTGCACTCTAGTACCCCTGCTCCCCCCCCCACCCCCCCTGGATTTCCACCAGAAGCTCCTGAGATAAGACCCAACCCCTGGGCCTTTTCTCCTTCTTCCCCCCCCCCCTTCCTAACTACTGTTTGATCTCTCCTCTGCACACCTTTCTCAACCCCTCTGAGGTGTGCAGAGGAGAGATCAAAGGAGGAGAGCTCGAACGGACCTGACCTGGTTCGTTCTCCCACCAGCAACTCCATCCGCAGCGTGGAAGAGCCATCTTCCTGTCTGACCCTCCACAATTTCTTCTTCCTCCCCCCTCCACCTCCCCAACCCCCCTCCCCCCTCCCATCTTCACATCTTCACATCTTCAAGAAAAATCATATTTTCTTGTCTCGCAGATATGGGACTTGGCCCTTCCACCCGCCAGCAGCCCCATCCGCAGCTTTGATGATATTTTTGAGGCGCCTCAAAAGTAGACCTCTTCTTGTTCCGCCTTATATTGTCCAGTTTTTGAGGCGCCTCAAAAATAGACTCCTCACGCCTCAAAAGTAGACCTCTTCTTGTTCCGCCTTATATTGTCCAGATATGGGACTTGGCCCTTCCGCCTGCCAGCAACCCCATCCGCAGCTTCGAAGAGCACATTCGAGAAGTGTGTGTATCCCCTGCCTTCTTGAGTGTATTCCTTCCAATTTTCTGCCTTTGTGTGTCTATTACTTGACTACTGCCCATCGTTTCTTGCTTCCCTCGTCTCAATCTCTCCCCCCCCTCACTCTCCTCATCCACCCATTTCATCTCATCTCACCTCATCTCACCTCACCTCATCTCATCTCACCTCGTCTCACCTCATCTCATCTCATGCAATCCGTATGCGCATGCCCATTTTCCAGTCCTTGCAAGTCTCACCACCTTGATTGTATCCTTCCATCCAACTTCATCTCTCGCCCATCTCACAAAGAGGAAGAAAATTGGTTTGTTTGTTCTTTTCCCCCCTGTCACAATTCCAGCCAATCGGTGGACTGGAACGTTGTGCGCCGGGACTCCTTCCTCTCATCGTCCTGGGATGACACAATCAAGGTGATTACAACGAGAAGAGTGTGTTCGGTGACTATAACGGGTACAGCTGTCAGATGACGTTGACAGGTGTGGCATAACCAGGTAGGGTAACCCTGACTTGCTCTTCTTCCTTGCCTGCTTCTTGCCGCCATCCCTCTGTGATCAGCGGGGCCTACTGGTAACTAGATGCCTGCTTCTTGCTTCTTGCTTCTTGCTTCTTGCTTCTTGCTTCCATTTTCACCCACGTGCAGCTCTCGGCGTTGGAGTCAGGGCAGTCGATAAGGACGTTTAAGGAGCACACGTACTGCGTGTACTCTGCCATTTGGCGCATGCAAATGACTCTATGAGTTGCCCCTCCTCCCCTCCCTCCGTCTCCCCTGCGTGCAGCTCTGGGCGTTGGAGTCGGGGCAGTCCATAAGGACGTTCAGAGAGCACACATACTGCGTCTACTCTGCTGTTTGGTACGGTACCTGCTCTATATGTCTGTGACTCTGAGGCGTCGCTTTTGAGGCGGCACAAGAGCACACATACTGCGTCTACTCTGCTGTTTGGTACGATACCTGCTCTATATGCCTGTGACTCTGAGGCGTCGCTTTTGAGGCGGCACAAGAGCACACATACTGCGTCTACTCTGCTGTCTGGTATGTCTAGTGGCTCTTCGTGTTTGCCCATTGCACTCCTCGCACTTGGGACCTTTGGGAACCACCATCCATCCTCATCCCACATATCCGCGGGCCTCACTCCTCCCTGTGCTTTCTCAGCCCACCCAGTTGTCTTTGCGTCAGCATCCAACAATTGCACTCTCCGCATCTGGGACCTCCGCGAGCCGTGATCCGTCCTCGTCCTCCCCGCCCACATCCCATAGGTATTCCCCTCCTCACCACTCCCCACCACTCCCCGCCACTCCCCACCACCACAGGAACCCGGCTCACCCAGATGTCTTTGCATCAGCATCTGGCGATTGCACGCTCCGTATTTGGGACCTCCGCGAGCCGCGCTCCGTCCTTGTCCTCCCCACCCACGACATGGAGATCCTCTCTTGCGATTGGAACAAATACGGCGGCGGATCGCTTATCGCCACCGCTTCGGTGGACCGAACCATCTGTATGTGGGACATCCGGGCGCCTCGGCCCGGGCCGGGCCGTCCCGAGCCTGTGGCTCGGTTGCAAGGGCATGCGTATGCGGTTCGGCGAGTGCGGTGCTCGCCGTTCCATGAGCCGTTGCTTGCCTCGGCTTCGTATGACATGACAGTTTGCTCTTGGGATTTTAGAGCCCCAGAGGATGCACTTTTAGGGAAGCTGGATCACCATACGGAGTTTGCGGTTGGATTGGATTGGAGCCCGTTGGTTGACGGGCTCATGGTGTCGTGTGGGTGGGATGAGATGGTGTATGTCTGGCAACATGGGATGGATCCCAGGCTTGGGTAGAAGTGTGTGCAAGGCTTTGAGGCCTATCAGGGTATGGAGGAGTGGAATGAGTTGACAGGGTCGTGTAGTCATAGGTGTAATACAAAACTCATGCTGGTTGTTTCTATGATGTTGCGAGCGATCTATAGATTACAACCACCAAATTAAAGGATATGTGTGCCAACATATATTGGTATATGTTACAGGCTAGATAGGTGCATGCTCATAGAGGGTACAGCACCATCCCTGTATGGCACAAAACCTCCCTGTATGGCACAATCTAGTTTATTACGTTATTCTAACATGTTATCACACAAGGTTAGGTTCCCCTCCCCGCCTACTCTTCCGCCCCTAGCCTTAGCCCTAGCCTTAGACCGCGCCCTAGCCCGCGCCCCGTCACGCCGCGCTGGCCCCGTTCCGCTGCGCCGGCCACGTCCCGCCGCGCCGGCCCCCGTCACGCCGCGCCGGCCCCGTCACACTGAGCCGGCCCCGTCCCAACGCGCCAGAACCGTCACACCGCATCGGTCCCGTCGCGCCACGCCGGCCCCGTCACGTTGCGCCGGCCCCGCTAGACCGTGCCGGCCTCGTCACACCGCGCCGGCCCCGTCAAGCCGTGCCGGCCCTTTCACTCCGTTCCGGCCCCGTCACGCTGCGCTGGCCCCGTCACGCCTCGCCGGCCCCGTCCCGCCGCGCCGGCCCCGTCGCGCTGCGCCAGCCCTGTCACGCCGCACCGGCTCCGTCACGCTGCACCGGCCCCGTCACGCCGCGCCGGCCCCGTCACGTCATGCCGGCCCCGCTAGACCATGCCGGCCCCGTCACACCGCGCCAGCCCCATCCCGTTACGCCGGCCTCGCTAGACCGTGCGGGCCCCATCACGCCGCGCCGGCCCCGTCACTCTGCGCCGGCCCTGTCACGCCGCGCCGGCCTCCTCACTCCTCGTCGGCCCCGTCATGCCTCGCCGGCCCTGCCATACCGCGCCGCGCCGAGCTGCCGAGCCGCTGCGCCACACTGCCGAGCCGCTGAGCCGCGCCACCCAGCCGCTGCGCCGCCTAGCCGCGCCACCCAGCCGCTGCGCCGCCTAGCCGCGCCACGCCGCCGAGCTGCCGAGTATCCGAGCCGCCGCGCCGCCGAGTTGCCAAGTCGCCGAGCCGCCGTGCTGCTGTGCCGCCCCAACCTGCCGGCCTTGGTTCCCCCTTCTGTGCTGGCGCTCCCGCCGGCCGTCTCCACCGCCCTCTCCTCCTCCTCCTCTAGCGGCGGTCAGCTGCTGCAGCCGTGGAGATGGCGAACGCTGTGCTCCGCGTGGACGCGGAGGGTCGGGCGATCGACTTTGAGGCGTGGCTCGCCGACCTCCGCCGCTCGCAGAGGGGACAGCGCCAGGATGGCCAGTCTCTGGTCGTTCACGTCGACGGTAAGATCCCCTGCCCCGACGGCCTGTTGACCTCTCTGACGCCCCCACGCCCACTGAGCGTGAGGCCTTTGCAGCTGCTGAGCTCGCTCACTCCGTCTGGGAGCCGCGTCATGCAGTTTTGCAGCTTGCTATCAGTCGCGCCCTCCCCTTGTCTAAGCACCCTCGATACTAGGCCCTAGAGACTGCACAGGCGTACTTAGATACTGTTATTGCACGCTATTCTACTCCCTTCTCCGCCTCTGCAGATCGTCTTCTTCTCCCCATGCTCTTTTCTGACCTTGCGTCTTTTCCCATTATCGCTGATCTCGTCACTCACTTGCGCGCACTAGAGACTAGCTACTGCGCTGCTAGCACTAAGGCTCAGCTCCTTGTACTGCCTCCCCCCCTCAGCGCTACCTTCTACTTCTTTGCCACGCACCTTCCTGACCACCTAGCCACTGCCCACGTCCACTTCCTTGCCCTCCACCCTGCTGACCTCACCCTCACTGACTTTGTCACTACCCTAACCGCTATAGAGACCCGCCAGTGCACTATCGCTCAGTCGAGCAGTACTGCAGCGGTCCCTATCATCCTGGGTTGGGCTCCCTCCCAATGTACTTACTCTGACGTCTTTGCCGATGTTGCTGAGACAGCCCCTGCTGCTAAGACCGCCGCGGTGCCCTCTGCGCAGTCTCGTCAGGGTAGAGGACGCCGGGCCCGGGGGGGGCATTGCGGCGGGAGGGGTGGCAAGGGTGGTGAGGGTGGCGGAGGTGGCAGAGGTGGTGGAGGGAATAGTGGTGCAGACGAGGGGACTAGGGCTGGTGCCCTAGAGCAACAGCAGCCTCTGCAGCTGCATCTGCCATCGCAGCAGCAGCAGTCGCCGTGGGGGCCCCCGCCGCCGTGGTGGGCTGGCGGTGCTGGTGGTGGTGGGGAGCACAGCTCGGTGTCGGATGGCGGCTCCAGTGTTGTCACCTGCCAGTACCAGCTCCAGTCCGGGCCCCGCCGCGGCACTGTCTGTGACCGCCCCGATCACACCCCCGCTCGATGTTACTGCCGCCTCGACGACCTGTTCCGTCTCCGCTTCGGCCCCACGGCGACCCCCCCGAGAGGTACAGCCTTCTGCGTGATCATGTGCGTGTCTTTAAGATGGACATGGATCAGATTAGGTCTGCGTTATATGTCATGTATGCTGATGACTCTAGTGTGACTGGACCCTATTACCCAGTTTTGCCTAGCGTAGGTATCCCCTGTGTGTATTCTAGGCTTCCCTACTGCGTCAGGTGTAGGACACCCTGCCTTGTTTAACCTAGGCTCCACGCTAGCCACTCCGCTTGCAGACACTACTGCTTTCGCTCTCCTTCACGTTCGATTTTGGAGCGTCTGCCTGCTTCTTTCGAGACCGCATTGCGGTCACACTTCTTGCCGCCCCTGCCGCTGTTACGCTTGCTGACCCCTCTTCAGGTTTGGTAGTTGCCCGTAGCTCCACAACCCTTCCCCATCCGGCGGTCCCCTCGGGCTCTCTTACAGGCCTGCACATCCTCTCATTCTCAAGGAACCTAGGTGGTGTCGGCTATCTTCAGAACCTCGGCGTCACCACTACGTTCCTCGGACATGAGCGGTACGCGGTCTGTACCGAGGCCGCCACTGGTGCCCCTCTATCCACGTTCTCCCGGGACCATGTATCTGGCATGTTTACGCTTAACACTGCGTCCCCCTCTAGTGAGGGCATCCCCCGAGGTGTCTACGTCAACCCAGGTCGCTGCGGCTTGCTCGTGTCGGTCGCTCACTTACCCGTCGCTGCTGTGGCACCACCGCCTAGGTCAACCTGCTCTCCCGCGTCTGCGTCATATATCCCATCACGGTCTTGTCTTCGGTCTCCCTACGTCGCTCCCTGCCTTTCCTCCCTCACCTGCGCCGCCGTGCACACCTTGTGTCAAGGGCCGGCTGCGCTGTGCTCCTCATTCCTCTTCGCTCCCCCTACCACTGCACCACTCCAGACCCTGCACCTGGACGTCTGGGGCACAGCCCCCGTCCCTAGGCCGCATCGCGAGCACTGCTTTCTAGTGTTTGTCGACGACTACACGCGCTACACCGCGGTGTTTCCTCTGGAGCGGAAGGCCGACGTGCCTGACATTTTTATCCCGTGGGTCGTAGCTGCGCAAGTCCACCACGGCCTCCCTGTGCTGCGTCTCCACTCCGACCGTGGCGGCGAGTTCGCCTCCGGACGGCTTGGCCAGTTCTATCGTGCGGAGGGCATCACCCAGTCGTACATCCTGCCGGACTCCCCGCAGCAGAATGGGGTCGTTGAGCGACGCATCGATTTGGTTATGAAGGTTGCTCGTACCTCCATGATCCATGCCAGTGCACCCCATTTTCTGTGGCTGTTCGCTGTTCGCTACGCCGGTCACCAGCTTAACCTGTGGCCGCACTCCCAGCGATCGCACATTTCGCAGACCCTTATCTGGACCGGGTTCCTTGGTGACGCGTTTGCGTTCCACATCTGGGGCTGCCTCGCTCACGTTTGTGCCTCTAGCACAGACAAGCTTGCTGCCCGCACTGTCCCATGTGTCTTCCTTGGTTTCCCTTTTGACGCGCCTGACTGGCACTTCTACCACCTGCATTCTCAACGCTTTTTTCACTCGCGTAACGTCACTTTTGACAAGTCTTTCTCCTTCTACCACCGCTTTCCCCACTGAGGTTTCCCAGTTTCCCCGCCCCTGTTACTTGTTCCCACTTCCCCGGTAGCCCCTGCAACGACGATTCTAATTGGTTTCCGAATGGTGCGACGAGCTCGTTACGAGACGACAAGCTCGCGGATATCCCCAGGCTGCAGCAGATTCGGCTCGCCAACCTGCAGCAGTGTGAATAACGTAGTTTTACTGTACGGATACAGTACACGACGATGGGGTTTGTAATTCTTGGCGAAGGACTCGCTGAAGACAAGGAAGTTGTGGTGCGGTAGTTTTCTTACTGCCCGTTTGGCTATCTAGGTAATTTGACGAAACTTCGACGGCTAAGATCGACCGCGATCGTTTCGACACGTTTCGTCTGTTGGATGGAGTTTCCTTGAAGAAGCTGGAGATTCTCAACAGCGGAGTCTTCAATACGATGAGATCCAGTTAGAGTGTGTGAGGGTTTGTTTCTTTGTGTGCTTATCTAGAAGGGGGGAGAGTGTAAAGAATTGGTTATCCTTACTGAGGCTTGCGACAGGGCGTACGACTCGAACAGTCCCGAACCTGCGATAGGGTTCCAGACCTTTCAGCTCGAGCCTCCTGGGCCTTTCCGGACCTCGTTTCGACACATCGAGGCCCTTCGACACCATTCCCGAACCTTCCTATCGTACGTCCAGGATCACCCTAGGTTCAGAGTTTCTCCATTGCCCTCCGCGCTACTTGGCAGTTCCATTCATAACACCCAGAAAAGGTGTCGCACATGGCGGCAAGAAGGGCCAGGTGGCCTCAGAAATTCGCCTGTCATCATGGGGCCATCATCTTCGACGCTCCCATCACCTTGGAGACATGGTGAAGCAGACTAATCACCGCGAAACACTCATGCCGAGCCTCAGCGCAGAGCTCGAAGAACGAACCTCCGCCATTCATTCCTCCCGAGCCTGCTCGCTTTGCTACAAGCTTCAGGCGAAGCCTAAACGAAACCTAGGAACAGTTTTTTAGGTTAGCTGCTGCTCCTGCTCTCGCCTGGCTGGTCGTGCCCTGTGTGTCTTGTCTTGCTGGGTGAAAAAAAAAATGCTCCTAGCTAATCAAAAGCGATTTCACTAGATTCGTCCGTCTTCCTTGATTTTATCATTTTGCCGATCATAACTCTAGGCCTGACTCGGTGGCACGTATGGCTGTCGGCACGAGCTGGCGTGCCGAGGATACGCATGGATCTGACATCGCCTTGTCGAGTAACTGACCTATTATTCTTCGTTCGTATACCTTCCCTGACACAAGGCAAACGACTGGGTTAATTCGTTAAGGACCGGTCTGATTACTATTATTGGGTGAGACCCCGGTTGCAAGACCTAAGTGTTACCCTCTGACTCCAAAGTGTAACACTGAGCCCGTCGGATTGCAACGATGCACGCGGATCGACTGCAAGATTCGCCGTCAAGCGCGGCGCCATGTGCGGGGGATACGTTTCACCTGCACTTGCAGGCTTTCTTACCTGTAGACCGAAAGCCTACTGCCGTTTCCTCGCCGGCACAAGCGAGTGCAACTGGTTACCATGGTTACACGGAGAACCATGGTTACCATTTCGCGGTGATTGAACGGCTCTCAACAACCACCACGCAGCCTTCTCCGATCCAACCCACATCGCGACAAAATCTGGGTGTTTATGACCCAGTGCGGCATGCAGTAGCGCGTATACACTCTCACGTGCATTCCCCATCCGCACATACGATCGGACGGCTGCAACTGGCCCATACGTCCCTGAGACCCTCCAGCAGCAGCGGAATGACGGAACCTCTTGGAACCGAACCTGCAGCAACTACACCGGCGCAATCGACGCCGGCGCAAACGACCCCGGCGGTGGGGCAAGCGTCGGCGGCGCAGGCGGCGCAGCAGCTGGCGCGGTGGCGGCAACAGCAGGGCGCGAGCTGGCAGTCGTTCGGTCTCGACCTGGCGCTAGGCGGCGCGCTAGGCGGCGTGTCGCACACGGTGGTGGCGCCGATCGAGCGAGTGAAGCTGCTGCTGCAGACGCAGGACAGCAACGCCGCGATTCTCGCAGGGCAGCACCGGCGGTACCGCGGGTTCGTGGATGCCGTGACGACGATCGTGAAGGAAGAAGGCTTCTGGGCGCTGTGGAGAGGAAATGGAACCAGTGTTATGCGCTATTATCCGTCCCTCGCGCTCAACTTTGCGTTCAAGGTGCGTTTATGAGGTGCGGGGCAAACAGGCGGTAGCGCGGGTTTTGAGGCGCCTCAGAACCAGAAGCGATTCTCGCGGGGCGCCTCAAAACCAGCGGTACCGCGGGTTCGTGGATGGCGTGACGACCGACGATCGTGTGAAGGAGGAGGGCTTCTGGGCGATATGGTGAGGAAATGGAACGAGTGGGACGCGCAACTACGCGAGTATTATTTTGCAGGGTGTTTTTGAGAATTCTCAAGAACACCCTGCAAATTCTGGGCGATATGGAGAGGACATGGAACGAGTGTGACGCGCAACTACGCGAGTATTGCCCCTCACTCGCGCTCAGCTTCGCCTTCAAGGTGAGTCCATCAGGTGTGTCACACGTGTATCCCGTGACGACGATCGTGAACGAGGAAGGCTTCTGGGCGCTGTGGCGGGGGAACGGGACGAGCGTCATGCGTTATTATCCCTCACTGGCCGTCAACCTCGCTTTCACGGTGGGTGGCCTTTGACATTACTTTGGGCTTCGTTTGAAGATCGTTCGTCATGCGCTACTATCCGTCCCTGGCGCGCTCAACTTCGCGATGACTTTAGAGTTGACTCAAAAGTCATGCGCTACTATCCGTCCCTGGCGCGCTCAACTTCGCGTTCAAGGTAGGTCAGTAAGGCCCTTCAATTCGCTCTCCCCACACACGCCACATCCCCTCGTCCTTCCCCGCATTCTCCCCCTAACCACCCTTCCCCTTCCTTCCTCCTCCGCCTCCTTCTCCCCGCCCCCCCTTTCCCTTCCTGATCTCTTGCCCTAACCCCGTCTCTCAGGCCCTTTCACCCCCCACTTTCCCACGTCCTTCCCTTCACTCGTTGCCGAGGAGTCTATGTTTGAGGCGCCTCAAAAATAGACTCGTCTCTCAGGCCCTTTCACGCCCCTCTCCCACGTCCTTCCCTTCACTCCTCGCCTAACCTACGCTTCTTTCCTCTTCCTCCCTCCCTCTTCCCCCCCCCCCCCCCCCCCCGGTTCCCTCTCCCCCCTCCCACACCCCCCCGATCAGGACTACTATCGTGTGCTCTTCTTTTTGAGGCGCCTCAAAAATAGATCCCCCCCGGTTCCCAACCCCCCTCCCACACCCCCCCGATCAGGACTACTATCGCGTTCTCTTCGCCCCGTCTCATCTACTCGCGGAGCCTTCCGCCACCCGAATTGCAGCAGGAAACTTCCTGGCAGGAGCAGCAGCAGGAGCCACGAGTCTTCTTGTCACGTACCCCCTAGACGTGGCACACACGCGCCTAGCCACCGATATAGGCACGCGCAGGCAGTTTGCAGGCATGCGATCCGTTATAGCGGCGATCTACAGAGCGGAGGGGGTCAGAGGCTTATACCGCGGATTTCCTGCGTCTGTGCATGGGATCATCGTGCATAGGAGTCTGTACTTTGGGGGGTTTGACAGCGCGAAGCAGCTGCTGCTGAAGAGCAACAGAGGAGGGGGGTGGGGCGGAGGAGGAGAGGGAGGAGGGGGAGGGGGAGAGGGGGGAGAAAATAGTGGGGAAAAAGGGAAGGCAGGAGAGAGGGATGGGCATGGGCACGGGCATGGGGATGGGCATGGGGATGGGGATGGGTCGGGGCATGCGCCGTTCTGGCTGAAGTGGATGCTGGCGCAGGCAGCAACAACGACTGCGAGCATCGTGTCGTACCCGTTTGACACGGTGCGGCACCGCATGATGATGCAGGCTGGCCTCGCCAAGCCCAGGAGGGGCGAAGCAGGGAGAGCAGGGGTAGTGGCAGGAGGAGAATCAGCAGCAAGAGGAGTAGGAGCAGGAGGAGCAGGAGGAGCAGGAGGAGCAGGAGGAGCAGGAGGAGTAGGAGTAGGAGCAGGAGCAGGCGCAGGAGCAGGGGTGGGTGTGGTTGGAGCGGCAGGGGCAGGAGCAGGGGTTGGATTGACTGCTGCTCTTGCAGGGGCTGAAGCTACAGCTGGTACCCGCTCGAATGCTGCAACGAATGCGCTTGCTACTGGCGTAAATGTGGCCAGAACGCCTGCTCCGGCTGCCTGCCCTCTCAGCCACTCGTTTGAGAGCCACCAGCACGATCACGTGCAAAACCACGGCGAAACACATGGGCAATTGGGTCAATCAGGGCAATCGGGCCATTCAGGTCAATCAGGTCAAGAACGAGCACAGGGCCAAGCACAGGGCGTACCACAAAAGGGTCAGCAGCCGCAACAGCATCACCAACAGCAGCGTCAGCAGCAGCAGCAACAGCAGCAGCAGCATCAGCAGCAGCAGCAGCAGCAGCCTAGAAAGGTGGTGGTGTTTAAGAGCACGTGGCAGTGCTGGAAGCATGTGTACCGGCAGGAGGGCGTGCTGGGGTTTTATAAGGGCCTCTTCAGTAACATTCTGAGAGGCACAGGTGCGGCATTTATTCTCGTGATGTATGACGAGGTGCGGCAGTTTTTGCACGGCGATAAGGCACTGTAACGGAGGTGATGGTGTTTAAGAGCACGTGGGAGTGCTGGAAGGCCTCTTCAGCAACATTCTGAGAGGCATGGGGGCGGCATTCATTCTCGTGATGTATGATTAGGTGCGGCAGTTGTACACGATACGGGAAAGGGACTGTGATGGTGGTGATAGTAAGGAGGGAGAGGGGTTTATGGAGTGGCACCTACAGCATCAGCTGCAGTAGCAGGGCAGGGGTTGCAGTGTTATGTTGGAAGATTCTGGTGAAATGGACTTGCTACATCGGAGGCAATGAGCCCACACAGATGACTTGGCACTCCACATTCTCTATTATTGGATTGTGCACCCTTGTGCCCCTGCTAACAGCATGGAAGGGTTTTTGCACTGCACACACTACTGGGACCTACAATACCGTACCTGTAAACGACTGCAATAAGCACAAAAAGCACTATAGATACCATAATGGAAGTCTGTAGTGTAGGGTGGCACTGCATGCACTTTCCCGTGTCTGCAGAAGCTGGTAGGGTATTACATCCCATGGATCTACAAGCTGCATTCCAAACCCTGAAGGTTAAAGTCCATTGTTAAAAGCCTTTCTCCCCAAACCAAGCCTTTTTTTCATGCAAAAAAAGCTGAGCTCACGGTGGCAAGAGGTGGCCCTAATCATCATACGACACGTGGCAAGCTGTGGCGCATCCAGGAGCATAAGGCGACTCGGCCCCGCAGCAATCGTAGAAGCGAGCTTGATACTCGGGATCACCGTCCTTTAGCTCATAGTACCTGTACGCGTTAGAAGAGGGAGAGGGGTGGAGAGGAGGGGAAGGGGGGGGAATGGTGAAGGGGGGGGAGGGTTGGGGACGGTACTGAAAGATGTTAGAGGTCGTCATTCCCGAACCAGAGAGAGGAGGGAGATGGGGTTAAGGAGGTGATGTTGAAACGAAAAGAGATAGTGCTGCCGAAAAGAGATTTATCCTTGCAAAGGTTCACCCCTTCTGGTCCTCAAGCTTGCGGCTCACAAATATCTTGGGATGCAACCTGCACGCCTCCTGGCTGTTCTCAACTCTATCATCATCCTCTCCCCACCCCCTTCTCCTTTTTTTTTCAAAAACTCTCACCTTTTCTGGTCGTCATGCTTTCGACTGACAAACATTTTGGGATGGAACCTGCATGCTTCTTGGCTGTTTTCCTCCCGCCTGAACAGAGTTCTGCAGCGCCGACATACGGATTCTTCTAAGGCGGCCATGCTGATCGCACCGTGTACTGCTCGTTAGTAATGCGGGGAATATAAAGGTGACAAGGGGTGTCCTTCCGTGTTCGTGACTGCGTCGACTGTTGCAGCGTCTAGTCTACCAAAGAAGCTGTGTGAGACTCTACGATGACGTACGAAAACGAGCGAACAGTCGGAACAGCTCGCTGGAATATGTTTTAGTCCAACTCCGTCTGGGACAGGGGGGTTCATGCGGACGTGTGCTAGTGAAAAGGAAATAGGAGGCTTCCTCACGTTGAGATACAGAGGTCACTCCTGCTGCTGCATGGCTGCCTCTGGTGTTACCATGATCAGCTGACTTCACGAAACTGACTGAAATTCTGAAACCAAGCGAGACACAGCTTTCGCGGAGGAACCATCAAGCTGTTTATGCGAGAAATTTGACAGCCACGTAATTGAGAACTGCACCCGTCAACCTCCTGATGCGAAACACATTCCGCTCGCGAAACACCTTGAATCCGCTGCTGCGAAATGTCGAGACCACGGAGATTTCAAATCTGTCCTTGGTGTCCGAAAGCAACAGATTCAGAAATCCATTCCCCACTCCCCCCCCCCCCTTCCCAGCAGATTTCAGTTGAACTGAGCTCATGTGGCTAGTTGAATTTATGCCTAGAAAATACCGTCAGAACCCCAAGTCAAGAGTACCAGCTGCTGCACAGGGCGACGTAGGAGCACAAATCCGGTTTTATTTTCCATCCATCCGCGCATCAGCCTGAGCTTTCGCGCTATTGTCGTCCTTCCTTAGATTTGGTTTGACAAAAGAAGCTCTGTTTCTGAGCTCGTTCCTCTTGTTTCGTTCTCTTAGATCTGAAACCTCGCACCTGCACTATCTGGCAATCCAAAGCACGGTCGGGATTACACACGCGACGTTGTTCCCAGGTGCGCCCTACAAGATGCTACCACGTGAGCGTCGAGATAGCTCACAACTTGTCAAAAAAATCATGCCTTTTTTTTTTCTACGATGGTGACGTGAGCGCCAATGCTCATGCTGCTGCCATGTTTTTTCTCTCCCTTCCGCCCACGCAGCTTCAGTCTTGTTAGCAAAATGGGAGATTGCTGGAACGCCGGTGCGATCATTGCCACGGTCTTTCTTCCGCCTCTTGGAACGTTCATGAAAAAGGAGTGCGGCTTCGAATTCTGGGTACGCGTCCTTCCGTTCTCGAATTTAACAGCGTGATTAGCGGAAATTTTCCGCGTGCACCCTTGACTTATCTCTGCTCCCGAGACCCATCCCTGCAGATTTCCATATTACTCACAATCTGCTTCTGGATTCCTGGGATTATTTACTCTGCGTGGGTGGTCGCCCAACAGTGAGTTATTCCTGTCTTCCTTGGCCGCTTTTGTTTGTCTTTCCGGTCTTCATTCTGGCTCTGACGTTTCTGGCGTTCCTTCGTGCAGGATTCGTGTTGAGGCAATGGGCCCAATGCCAGGTCATTAACCATTGTACTACTTCTGGGGCCTAGAGCAAAATGCGTTGAAGTTTTTCGTCATCGTACATTGTACATTGTGCATTGTAACATATTTACATGAACTGGAAAGATTCTGGCTATATACAGAGGCTACTCAATTCTACAGGCTCTAGTCTGTCCACTGCTTCTTGGCACCTGCACTGGTTGGCTGGCTCCTTTCCTCCATCTTAGTGGTGGTGTCCAAGGGAACAGATCTGCTCTTGTCAGCGGTCTCCATGGCAGGAATATCCGTGGAGGGAGTGCCCGTGGAGGGGGTGCCCGTGGAGGGGGTGCTCGTGGAGGGGGTAGTTTTGCCCTTCTCATACGGCTGGACTAGTGACTGCAAACTTGCTCCAATCGCCTGCAGAGGAAAGCCGGCTTCCCGTTTTAGTAGTCCGTGATCCATCAGCACATTCCAAGAAACAGCACAATCTGGGAGAGAGTCAATGCGAACAAGAAGCATGCTCACCTTAGCAGCATCAGTGACAGCATCACCAGCAGCAACAAGCACCTCCGCAGCACCAACCACAACCGTCTGAGTCACACCCTGCGTTGTCTTCACTGCTTCATGCAAATCCTCTCCAGCAGCCTTCACTGACTCACCAGCCCCCTCTATCCCCTTCCCTCCAACCCCACCCCCCTCCTTCCCAACAACCCCTCCCTCACCTCCCTCCACTCCACTCAACCCCTCACCAGCATCCTTCCCTTCTCCCGCACCCTGCCTGACAACAGAAAGTTTTTCCATAGCCCGCTGGACGTCAGCATAAATCTTTCCAGCCGCTCCCTCCACCACATGTTCAGCTTCCACACCCTTCGCCTTCACAACCTCTGCCAGCTGTCCCAACCGCTTGGCAGACGCTTGAAGAACAGCAGCCTCCTCCTTCCCTTCAACCTCCACCCCTTTGCCAATAGCCGTCTCTCCCTTCTGAACCTCCTCCTGACCCTTCCCGAAGCTAGCCTCGACAGTTTCTGCAGTTTCGCCAAGCCCCTCCTTGGCCCTTTCTTTCAGCTCCTCGGTCTTCTCAGTCGCCTTCTCAGTCCCCGTCATAACTCCTTCCTTCGCCTTCTCCTTCATCTCATAACCCTTCTCCTTTGTTCCCTCAGCCGCCTTCGTCGCGGTTTCTGTCACCTGGCTGCCCGCCTGCTGAGCTTCCTTCTTCGCCTCCTCACGCTTGGCTGAAGCTGCTGCCTGGTGCTCGCCAGCAGCCTTAGCCTTCTCTTGCTCCGTGGTGCTCCTTCTCTCGGAGGTCGTCTTCCCTTCAGCTGGCGCTTTCTCCGCGGTTCCCTTCACGCGTGCAGCCCATGACACGCCCTCCTGCGGCTTCTGCTCCCCTTCAGCCTGTGCCTGTCCGCCACATGGCACCTGCACACAAAACCGTGTTCCATATGAAAGGATCAGGCGAGGCCATCGCAAAAACCTGACCTGACCATCCGAGGGTGAGGTAGTGACCTGACCTGCGAAACTTGTTGGCTCGCCATGTCACCCGCTGGCGCTCGTAACTCGAACAGGTGACGAAGAAACCTGTCGGTCTGGAAGACTTATTGCTCGGATCTGAAGGACTAATAGCTCGGATCTGAAGGACTAATTGCTCGGATCTGAAGGACTAATTGCTCGGATCTGGCTGCAGTGAACGGGCTTTGGTAAGGTACAGGTACTGGAGAACTAGTTCCTGAAGAGCTGCGCCAGGCCATATATAGCAGCTACCGCACCTCGACTCGCAGTTCCCCTGAAGACCGCGAGATGACGTTGCGTGTCCAGAAGGTTCTTCGTTCCCGGACATTCCCAAACGCTGCTCTTCGTTCGGCGCCAATCGGGTAGCTCCTCATCCGTCCTAGCTGTGTTTCTAAAATTACCGCGTGGACGGTGACACGTGGGCTCCATCCGTGCCCTGCACAAGCGGATCATGCTCGGCAACTCCGTTTGAACGGCGGTAAGATGGATAGACTGCGTGCTTCCGCCCAGCTGCACGTCCAAGCATGCAAGGACGTCACACGTATGGGAAAATGACATGCAGGCTAGGCTGCAGGGTTAGGGGGACTAGATGAAAACACACCCCCAGGGCAGCTTTGAATTTGCTTCTTGCAAAGCCAAGAATCTGCTTCTTGCAATGCCAAGATTGAATCTGCTTCTTGCATACATTGATCTGCTTATTGGCAGCTTCGTTAGTCGTTAGAGCTTCATCGTGTGGCGCACATTCACATACCATGATGCTACACTCTCGGTTGTGGTTTCAGGAGTCTTGTCGACGCCACGTGGATTCAGGTGGGGCAGATGTTACCTCAAACACGTGCATTTTGCATTCAACCTGACCGTGATCTCTCTGCTACGTTACATCTGCCCTGAACCAACCCGCTCCGTTGTTACAGGGCCCTCTCTCAACCACCTTGTTTTGCGTCGCGTCGCGTCGCACACCATCATCGCCAGCTGCCCTGCAACTAGCCCCTATCGCCTTGTTGGCGATTGCGCACCTTGGCTCGGGCAAGCAGCCAGCTCGGATCACAATCAAGGCGCCACAGCTTGCGTAACCAATCAGCGTCGTCCCGCTCACACCCCGTGCCACATCACCAAACCTCGCTTCCAACAACCAGCCTCAAGGTGCTCCCGAGGCTGTTTGGCTCGGCTCAACCACCTCCAAAATGCCCGTGACCGCAGAAGGAACTTGCCCAAGCGTAATCACCGAACCGGATCAAGCCCAGCAAACCAGGTGTGGTGTTCCCCCCCCTACCTCCGTGGTTTCGACCAATCATAACGGCCCAGGACGTTGAAAATCTCCATGCAAAATGGCTCCCTGCCTGTGCCTTTTCAAAAGCTGCAAATTTCCATTTCTAAGATCAGCAACTAGATCAGGGAGCAGATTAGTAGCACTACACTCAGTCTCACATTTAGTTTTACCAGAAGCGACATATCTAGAGTCAGGAGGGGCCATTGTTCCCCATTAAGTTCAACATATCTAGCTTGAGTTACCTCGCTGTCAGGCATTCTCGTCGAGCTTCACTAAGTTACACCCCCCTCCATCTGCTCTTTTTCTACGGCATTCGCATTGGCACCTGAGAGCTGCGTCGCCTGACTCCGACTGTCACCGCAAGGCGGCTTTCGGATCCGCCATGGCTCCGTGGTACAAAGAGAACACGACCGTGAACTGCTTCGGGGTTACGCTCAACCTCGGAGATCTCACGGCTCTGCCACTGGTCGTTGGATACGCGCTCTGCTCGAGTCTCCTCGCGATCATCAACAAATACGCCATCGATGTCTTCCCCTTCCCGAGCCTCCTAACGGCTCTCCAGTACCTCACATGCGTCGTCGCCGTCGTCGGTCTGGGCCAAATGAAGGCCCTGGAGCACGACGCGATTCAGTGGAGCATGGTCAAGAAATTCCTTCCCGCGGCTTTCGTCTTCTACATGGCGATTTTCACCAACACTACGCTTCTTAAATACGCTAACGTGGACACGTTCATCGTGTTCCGGTCGTCTACACCGCTTCTCGTCGCGATCGCCGATTATCTCTTCAGGAAGCAGCCATGGCCGGGGCCATACACCTTCGGAGCTCTTTTCGTGATTCTCGCCGGTGCAGTTGGCTACGTGGTTACAGACAGCCAGTTCACCGTTCGCGCCTACACCTGGGCCTTCGCTTACCTCTTTACAATCACACTTGAGATGGTGTACATCAAGCACATCGTCAGCAGTCTCGGACTGAACACCTGGGGTTTCGTCCTGTACAACAATTTCCTCTCCCTTCTCATGGCTCCGTTCTTCTGGATGATCACCGGAGAGTTCCAAGACACGCTGCTCGCCACCACCGCCGTTGGGGACTGGAAATTCGGCGTGGTTTTCCCGGTGCTGCTGTCCTGCGCGTTTGGACTCGCTATCAGCTTCTTCGGATTCGCCTGCAGAAAGGCGATCTCAGCCACGGCTTTCACGGTCCTCGGCGTGACCAACAAGCTGCTGACGGTTGTCATCAACGTCATGATCTGGGACAAGCACGCCTCCTCGTTTGGAGTGCTCTGCCTTCTCGTTACAATCATCGGCGGTGTGATGTACCAGCAATCGAACGTGAAGCAGAACTTCCGGACTGCTCCGGCGTCGACGGATGAGGAGGAAGCGAAACCCCTGACTCCTGCGAACGAAGTGGATGACGGCCAAGATTCCGGTGAGTTGCGTCGATAGCACAACCCTAATTCTTTCTAAACGTCGCACATCAAGCAAGTGTGCTGGAAGAATCTTGGAAACTGAACAAGCGGTTATAGCGTAGAGAGCCCAGCGTGGCTTGGTGGTTGTAATGTAAAGAACTTACCTTGAGAAAGGGGAGCACAGAGTTATTGGTTCGATCTTGCTTCGCGTAAACGCGGTTACACGCGGTTTCGTATCGGAGGCGTGGCTGATAGATTCAGGCTCAGATTTGAGTTTGTCGCTCGTGTTAGGCTCAATTCATGCCCCTAGACTTCTCGCCACTAATGAGTATTTCCATCAGGTGGTTGTAGGATGCTCGTGCGTTGAGGCTAGGATATGCTTAGCCATGGCAGTGTAGTAGATGCGGTCCTTCTGTAGTAGATGTAGGCCGTGGGTTACGCCGTACGCCAGAGTGGATGTAGGGGAATGTCGCCTGGAGGACCGTGCAGCTTTCTCAGGCCTTCGTATGTGTCTAGGGTTGTTCATGTATAAACCCTCGCTGAACCCTGACACTCGTTGTTCCTCGTGTCTCTTCAACTCGTCCTCCGTTCCTCCTTTCCCTTCTTGTGGGCCTCCTCTTGCGCCCTCCTTATCTCTGATTCCTTCTCATCCTGCCTACTGCCTTGCATTTCGTGCCTCCTACAGCATCAGTTGCTCCTGTTAAGCTGTTCACATAAACTCTATTCTTTCCGCGTTTCCTGGAATTCCCTCCTGCCCTTACCTGTCGTCATTCCCTGACCATGTTCAATTCTTGCCTGATCCTTGCAGTTTTCCCCAACCACACATCCCCACTCATTTCCCCAGTCCTCCCTTCTTCCTCTCTCCTCCCCCCCCATCCCCCACACTTCTTCCCCCCATCCACCGTGCTCTCTTTCCTGCCCCCCCATGCCCACACCCGCTGCCCCATTTCGTTTTCGTTATCTGTCCCATTGTCCCACTACCACGCCTCTGATGCATTGTCCACTGAAACTCATCTCTCTGCCTCTCTTCTGCACCTCTATGCTTGCCTGTGCAGAGCTAAAGCCCTTGAATGTCAAGTAGGCAGGTCCACGTGTCCCCTTTTAGACTACCATGCGCTAGTTGCTGGATATGTTTATTTACTCTACAAGTGATCTCCAGCTGATGCACTGTGCCTGACTGTCCCTAATCTTAGGGATAGTGTCTTGTCTTGTCACTGAACGTGTAAACTGTCAAATGTGTGCATGGATATGCTTCAGCCGATCGTAGGTGCCTTCTTTCAACAGGATCCAGCCATTACCTGAAGTGAAGTCATGAGGCTGCAAAACAGAGCGGACTGGACAAGGAACATTAGGAAATACACACTGATGCCACATTATTTTGACACTTGTGTAGGCTGTAAAGCAGGGCATTCCTCCCTGCCTGCTTTTGGTCACCTCATTCAAACGGACTGAAGTGATGCTTTGGACGACAAGATTCACCTTAGGACTTTCTAGCGTTCGTCAAACAAACAATTAGGATACAGTGGCGTCTAATGATAGTCCTTCCAAATATTTCTTAAATGAGATTGTTGCCTGTGATTCTATTACACAACTTAGTACGCGACCAGGTTGGGATAGAGACATTTGCTACTACATAACCGAATGTTCCAATCGAAGAGAGCTTCGAGGGGGACAACACTTTTAACAGTTGCACGTGACTGGTCGGCTGAGGATGTGCTACGTTGGCGAAGCGTAACTGGCCAGAACCTACAACGGACGGATGGGAACCTTCGTTTGTGGGGCCGACGCGACACCACTATTGGTTGACTGATTCCCGCCTGTCTTTGGCCTCCCGACCATCCAATCGAACGGTGTAGCGGTTGTATCTTTGCCACGCTGGACCACTGACACATCGTTTTCGGCCTTTTCCCGCTTACATGTCAATATCTAATTGCTTTTGATAAGACACAGCTAGAGATGCATCCATGTCGCATCAATGGGGCTGCGCCCGCACCCTCCATTCGACTCCGAAACTTGACTGGAGCCCCGCAACTGAAGCCAGCGGACTCGCCGAAACAGTTTCCGCCACCGATTCCCCCTGCGGAAGCGTCGTTGGCGGAGCAAGACGCGTGCGGGGGTGGAGTGCTCATGAAGTTTGAGCGCATGCAGCAAACATGTTGCGTGCACATGGAGGGCCCATGGCCAAGCAATAACCCCCTGCCACCCTCGTGCTTGACGGTTTGTTCCGCTGCGTCGTCATTTCAGATCTTTTCTCATCGTGTCGCTTCAACTCAAAACAAATTTGTGCGATTTTCAGGCGTTATGTCGCAGTGTACATAACGAGGCAGAAGGAATTTGCGTTCTGATTTGTAGCGTCGTGAATCGTGATGTTCGCGCGATCGTCCTTTTTTGGCGTGGTTGTGGTTTTCAGGCCTGACTGGGACCAGTTCAATCATTATTCCCACTGGTGTCCCATCAGGTGAGGCTGCACAGCAACAGAACAGGCCCCGAACAGTTACGTGGTCATTCATTCTCCTCCCCGTTGCCTAGGAAATGGTTGGGGGGAAGGTCCGCGTAAGGCAGCAGCAACCTGGGTAGGTTTGGGGACCAGGGGAGAGGGGGAGCAGGGGGCACAGAGGGGGAATGTTCTGTAGACGAAATGTTGCGTGATGACGTGAGCCTGGCAGGCATGGCCTGGCGGTATGGCTGGCTGGTTTCTGGTTCTTGGCGCAGAGGGTTTTTGCGTCTGCTCGCGCAGTTGGGGGACAAAGGAAGAAATGAATGCGCAGGCGGAAGAGAAAGTAAGGGCAGTCTGCGGAAAGATGCGGAGGGGAGGGAGCGGAGTGGAGGAGCGGAGCGGAAGAGCAGAGAAAGGAAAGGCACACTGCTCTGCTCACATTGGCCATCTTGAAGTTAATACAGCAGCTCGGCCAAGCAGGACGGGTGACCAAGTCCATCACCAGCAAGGTTAGGTACTGTACAACTCAAGAGGAGAATCAGGTCACAAGAGCAGACAGGAGAAGGGAGTGGTCTGCTTTAGCCCATAACACCGACAGGCTGTCTGTCCCAGCAAGCTAACACATTGCCCCAGCATCTACGCCATTGTGGTAGGTCGTCTGTTTGTGAGACCGACCAGCAGCATCCTCGCTGATACAATACCAGGCATCAGCTAGAGTTCCATGTAGTAATCTATGCAATATCTCATCCTTGTCTTGGCAACAAGCCTCCTCAAGTCACAGTTGCTGACGAGCTCGCCTTCTCCGAGGTTTTGTTGCGCGACGTTGTCAGAGTACTTACTTCTAACAGGCATTCTCCACCTCATAAGCTTAGTGCTTTGCCTTCAGTCCGACAGTTCTAGAAACATGGACTGTTTGAGACTATCTGCTCAGGCCATTTCACAGAGTGCTGGCGTGTCACCTGCCGGGTTTATTACAGCAAAGGCGACGTCTGATCGCCGGCCAAGCAGGGGACGGAAATTCAGGGGCTTCGGTGGTTCTGCATATCCGTCAGTACAATGCCCTAATCACCACAACGACTCGAATTTCAACAAAGATGGAGTCTGCTCATCGTCCTGGCCGTTGTCGGTTCCGGCCATGGCTTCTCAACCGAAGGGTAGCAGCAAATGTCAACGATTTCCACATTCGGCTCGGTTTTCTCAAGATCCGATCTGTTCATTTGCTGATAACGACGACCACGAAGCTTCTCGGCTTGCATTGGCTCAGCTTGAACGATCTTTCCTGGCGGAGTCGTCAATCGGAATCGTTGAATGCACCAGCAAAGGATGCAGACCAGTTCTCAGGCCATCACCGCCTCCTGGTGCTGAACCGCCTCCGTCCTCCTCCGTCTCGTTTCCGTCAGCATCCGTCTCATCGCCGTCAACCTTCCCTTCGAGCTATCCCCTCGGCTCAATCGCCACAGACGCGGCGTGCATGGAGGAACGAGCGGCGACTTACCATCGGCATCAGGAACGGCGACAGACTGAACTGCCGGGCCGGCCGAGTTTGCAGACGGAGTTTGCAGAATTCGTCAACGAGGTCTGGGTGGAGCCGTCAACGGCCGACAAGTATTACCAGTCGGCGATGCGACAATCTCCTTACGACATCCGGCTACTAACGAGTTACGCTCAGTTTTCGTGGAAGCAGCTTCATGACAAGGATCAAGCAGAGGACCTGTACCAGAAAGCGATTCAGGAGTCTCCGGATAATTCGGACGCGCTCGCGAGCTACGCTCTCTTCTTGTGGGAAAGTGAGAGTGAGAGCGAGGGGGAGGTGGAAGCAGTGAAGAACGCAGCAGTAGTCGCTTCTTCAGTCTAGCGCAATATGTGTTCAGGAAGCGTTGTGCTGACGTGGCTACTCAGCCTGCTTCGCGTGCTGCCATGGGTTGTTGTGGAGACCGTACATTTCTAGGAGCTTCGATTTGCAGTCCCTTCGGCATAAGGGGCGTCTTAGTAGGTAGAGCATGCCTGCTCCCTGTTGCTGAACTTACAGGCAGCGGATAATGGTTTGTCTTTTGTCACAGTTTTTAAATACCGACATTAACCTCCTGCAGTTGCCTCTCTTGCACGTCCTGCCTGAGATCTTGATTTGTACTGTAGTAAGATAAACGCTTTGCCTGCCATAGATAACTTCACTAGGTTGTTTCTGATTGGGGCCCACAAGAAGCCCAGAAAGCTCAAGTTGAGTGCCAATGGAGTTCCAGATGACTGCCTAGGTTGGCATGCCTCTCGCCTAGCACATCCTGTAAGTTAGCATGCAACGTCCTCGAAGTGGTAATCTAGCCAACCAATGCACAAATCAACAAGCAAAAATTCTCACTAAGAGATGCTTCTCCCTCTTCCTGCTCCTCCGCACATTCACATGGAGACTGCCTCTCGAAAACCGTACCCCTCTTAAAGCGAGGGTCTCGAGAAGCAAAAACCAAACCCAAAGGTTTTGGTTTCGGGGGATCTCGAAAATTGCGAGGTGTGGTGAGGGTGCTAGTTGGGCGTTGTTACTGTTTCGCTAATTTCGTCAACCCAAAACCAAACCTTTTGGATTTGGTTTTTTGCTTCTCGAGACCCGCGCTTTAAGCTTCATAAAACCCAGCAATCAACACAGCACCCTACTCTCCAATACCCAGCTCCCTAACCATCTCTACTCCCTCCTCGAATTTCTTCCCACGTGACCGGGCCCTCCCTGTCTAATCTGCCTCACAACGGATCTCCCCAGGGCAGACGCCACCACCACACCAGCCAAGCGCAGCAAGAGGCTTCTTCCTTCTTGAGGTTTCATGCCCGTTCTACACCTCCCTCCTCGAGTTGCTTCTGATTCGCCTCGCAACAGATCTCCCCAGGGCAAACGCCACCACCACGCCAGCCAGGCGCAGCAAGTGTCCTCCGCGCCTCCGCAGCCCGACACCTCTTCCTCTCTCCTCACCCTCCACCTCATCCCGCTCCAGCGAACTCAGGCCCCCCATACCATCCACCCCGTCCAGTCCAATGCCCTCATCAGAACCTCTTTGCGCCGAGTTCCATGCACCATGTCCATCGCTTGCTGCTTCCTCCGTGCTGCTCTCCGCCACAAGCTGCACGCTACCTCTTGCCAAACTGTGCTGCCCATGATCAGTGGCGGCTCTTGCGCCGTCGTCCCGCTCTGCATCCACACCTCCCACAAGCCCCTGCTCCTCCTCCTCCTCCTGCTGCTGCTGCTGCTGCTGCTGCTGTTCACCATGCAGTGCGGGACCTGGGGCATCTCCTGCATCTCCCTCCTCCCTGCTTCCCGCATCCGCTCGTCGCTCCTGTTCTTCCGGCTGCTGAGCTTGCCGCTGCTGCTCCTGCTGATGTTGCTGGCTCTGCGCCTGTGCTTCCTGCATTTCCTGCGTTTCGTGCTGCTGCTGCTGCTGCTGCTGCCGCCGCTCTGCTTCTTGCCCCGCTCTCTGCAGCCGCCTCTCCTCATACTCCTCATCATCCGTGGGCAGCTCAAACCGGCAGATGGGGCACGAGTTTCTAACCCCAAGCCACTGCCTGATGCAACCCCCATGGTACAGATGCCGGCACGGCAGCCTCACCACCTCCTCCCCTACCTCGGCCACTTCCTTGCACACAGCGCAGCACGCCGCACCGCTCTCCACCTCCTCCAACCGCACCGCGATAACTGGCAGCGCGTCAACGGCGGCTTGGGAGGCAGCGGGGTTGCCGCGCTGCTGTGCCAAGGCTGCGTCTGCAGCAAGAAGATGTTCGAGGAAAGCGTCCAGGCCGGGACTGTCCAGATAGTCGCCCGGGTGGCTGAAGAAAATGGTTGTGGTCCTGATTCCATCTGAGTTGGCGGTAGCACCGGCACCCCCTAAACCAACAACAATAGCATCGGCAAAATCCTCAGCACCGGCAGCAGGTTCGGCGCCCCAGTGAATCCGAACCTCGAATCCAGCTCCGCCAAAGGCCAAACCACCACCTCCCGTTCCCCAGCCCACCCTACCACCACCAGCAGCACCAGGCGCACCAGCAGCAGCAACCCCACCAGTAGCAACAGTAGTGCCGTCAGCATTGACAATGCGGCTGCGCCGGAAACGGAACTCGACGCGCATGGTGGGCCCCGCGATGTCCTGCATCAGCCGCTCCAGCCCCACCTCCAGCTGCTGCAGCGCCTGCTGCGGCACTGCTCTCGCACGCCTGAGGAAGGCTGTTCTGCTGTTTGTCGTTGCTTCTGCTGCTGCTGCTGCTGCTGCTGCTGCTGCTTGGACACGTGTTGGTGCTTCCCTGTCCGGTGCTACTCCTTCCCGTAATCTTAACTGGCTCCCTCCTCCTCGATCCCTCACGCCTCGCTCCCCTTCGCCTCGCCCCCATTCTCCTCGTTCCCTCTCGCCTCGCTCCCTCTCGCCCAGCTCCCCACCCAAGGGTCTTCGGGCTCGTGCTGTGCCTTCAAATCGGGCCAGCTCTGCTGCTTGTGCTGCGGACAGGGGTGCTGACAGCAAGGACATGGAAGATGATGACGTGGACGCTGATGACGTGGATGGTGCTGCTGATCCTGTTCCTACAGCAGCAGCAGCAGCAGCAGTAGCAGGAGCGGGAGATGATGACGTGGAGGATGACGTGGACGACGCAGGAGGAACGACCCTTTGCCCTGTCCGTCCAAAGCCAAGATCGTGCGATCGCAGTGGCCCACTATTGACAAACTCGATATCACGCATGTCGTCAAGTCTCCTCCGCATGTCAAGTCTCCGCTGCACGTCACCCCAGTCACCGCTACGAATCCTCCCCTCCCTCCCCTCCCTCCCCCCCCTCCCCTCCCTCCCCTCCCTCCCTTCCCCTGCCCCCTCAGCAGCACCACTCGAATCAATCTCCGCCACACCCACTCGTCGTCTCAGACCCCGCCTCTCGCGCCTGGCGCGTCCAACGTTAAAGCCCAAACCTACCCCCCCACCACCCATGTTAAACAGCGGCACTCGCGCCCTCCCCCCCACTTGATCCTCCTCCTCATCACTCCAATCCCCCATTACCTCCTCTTCCTCTTCCTCTTCCTCCTCCTCCTCCTCCTCCTCCTCCTCCTCCTCCCACCCTTCCTCCTCCCCTCCTCCCTCCTCCCCTGCCTCCTCACTTTCAAGGCTTGACCACGAGCGTTGAATCTCTTGTAAGAGCACTTGGAGCTGCCTTAAAGTGTCCGCCGCCCAATTTCCGCGGCTCCTGACGCCTCCGATGTGATTCTCCGCCTCCCTCCCCTCCACCTCTTCATCCTCACTATCGTCGTACTCGCTATTATCACTCTCGCTCCCCATACTGAGACCTCGCAATCCGTCCTCGCCTCCCTCCTGTGTCATACCCGTTACAGTCACACCCAAACCAGCCGCACCCATTTCAGTCACATCCTGTGACGTACCAGTGCGAGGCGATACGAGATCAGGCATATCGTCTTCTTCCACATCCGCTTCCCCTTCCTCTTCCCCCCTCGCTACAGTCACGCCAGCTGGTGTCGTCCTGGTTTCGTTGAACCAATACTCCTCTTCAGCGTCCGCGTCATCATATTCCTCGTCATGAATCCCGTCAGAATCCCCGTCAGAATCTCCGTCAAAATCTCCGTCAGAGTCCCCATCATCGTCTATACTCCACTGATAGTCATAATCGTCGAGATTCTCGTCGTGGTTCCCGTTATAATCACAGTCGTCAGACTCAGTGGCAAGATCCGGCATATCGTCGTCGTCGTCCTCCTCCTCTTCGGGTGCTCGAATCGGAGGCCTCGTTTCGGTCTCATCCACTTCAGACACACCCGTTTCAGCCACATCCGCTTCAGGCACTCGCTCTTCCGTCACACTAGCTTCAGCCACACTCGCTTCAGTCCCATCCGCTTTAGTCACACCAGTTGACATCGGAACCAAATCCGCAAAAGAACTCGTGGTGGAGACGCAAACTACGATCGCTGCTCCTCCTTCCAATGGCGGTCGTGATGCTGATGCTAATGATGATGCTGGTGCTGCTGACGGTGCTGATGCTCCTGATGGTGCTGATGCTGCTGATGCTGATGGTGCAGACGCTGCTGCTTCCCACGTTTCACCTCGTCTACTGTCACCTCCTCCAGGGTCAGCCCCCTTAATATCACATCCTCCTCTCAGATTTCCCAGCAGCTCCCCATGTCTCGTCCATTTACTTGATGCGACCGCAACCGAAGATCCCAACGTCAACACCAATCGCAGTGGTTTTTGAGTCCACTCAAAATTCAACGCCTCTCAGATTTCCCAGCAGCTCCCTATGTCTCGTCCATCTTCTTGACGCGACCACAACCGAAGACTCCGCGTGACGTTCAATCAAAATCTCCAGAGATAAGCATAGACAACGGTTTGCGTTACAAAGTCTAAAGCGGAGGCCGCGTGAATCCAGCAGGGCTGTGTTACAAACAGGAAATCTAACGGAACGACAGGAAACTCCAAGTCGAGTAGCAGTGAATAAAATCAAACCTACCAAGCTAGGCTACTCGCCAGCTAAGTTACAGCCGTTAAGTACATGCATGTCAACCTAGCCGAACCAAGAAACACGAGATAGATGGCAAAAGGCTCTAGCTGTTCCATACGCCTGATTTCTTCACCCTCGAGCTAGTGTACCTGGCAAGAAACGCTGAAAGAATCTATGGTTGCTGGTATCACGATTCACGTCCTCAGTCCTCCTGACACAGATCACTCAGGAGCCAAGGTGTTCTGAACATATTTTTGAGGCACCTCAAAAATTGACTCATGACACAGATCACTCTGGAGCCGAGGTGTTTTGAGGGCATGTCCAGCGCGTACGTTTAATTGCGGTCGGGTAAGGTGCCTCACGGATCAGAAGGATCGATAACAAATCTAAAACGGTTGGGTAGGGTTTTGACAAAAAACGAACGCGCTGGACACGCCCTGAACATACAAACACGCGACAAACCCGATGGATGCACCAACCTCCATGGGATGGTATGGTAGCCCTAAAAGGCTCGCTAACAGCAGGCTCGTACATTCGCTAAACGTTGAGCGCTGTACTCTGCAGCAGTACCATGCGACCTCACAAATGGAGTGGACATTACCTCTCCCATAAGGCCACTTCAAGCCCTTAGCTACAGTTGCAATAATCCCTCTATCTTTTCAAATTTGAAGGGCTTGAAATTAGTTGGGGCAAGGACATGGATTCAATGGCTCAAAAGCTGCCAATAAACATGGGCGATAGAAGGCCTTGGGTAGGAATCGCTCAGATGCGGAGAGATGGGGCTTTGCCACTCCCTGTCAGGGGAAAGAATGTCGGGAGGAGGGGGATAGGAAGAGGGCAGAGTGACAATCAATAGAAGCTGGCAGAATGCTAAGGCAGAGCCGTGGAATCCCACTCACTCACCTGGGATCGCAGTGCCTCTGATCCAACACTTCCTCCCCCCCCATCTACCCCCCATCTACCTCATCTATGCCATCGCCTATTCTGAGGAGCCTGAAAAAGATACTCACCTGGCATCGCAGCACCTGTGATCCAACACTTCCTCCCTCCCCCATCTACACCGTATACGGCATCGTCCATTGTGAGGTGCCCAAAAAGAGACTCACCTAGCATCGCAGCACCTCTGATACGGCATCGTCTAATGTGAGGTGCCCAAAAAGAGTCTCACCTGGCATCGCAGCACCTGTGATCCAACACTTCCTCCCTCCCCCATCTACACCGTATACGGCATCGTCCATTGTGAGGTGCCCAAAAAGAGACTCACCTGGCATCGCAGCACCTCTGATACGGCATCGTCTATTGTGGTGTGAGGTGCCCAAAAAGAGTCTCACCTGGCATCGCAGCACCTGTGATCCAACACTTCCTCCCTCCCCCATCTACACCGTATACGGCATCGTCCATTGTGAGGTGCCCAAAAAGAGACTCACCTGGCATCACAGCACCTCTGATACGGCATCGTCTATTGTGAGGTGCCCAAAAAGAGTCTCACCTGGCATCGCAGCACCTCTCATCCAACACTTCCTCCCTCCCCCATCTACACCGTATACGGCATCGTCCATTGTGAGGTGCCCAAAAAGAGACTCACCTGGCATCACAGCACCTCTGATACGGCATCGTCTATTGTGAGGTGCCCAAAAAGAGTCTCACCTGGCATCGCAGCACCTCTCATCCAACACTTCCTCCCTCCCCCATCTACACCGTATACGGCATCGTCCATTGTGAGGTGCCCAAAAAGAGACTCACCTGGCATCACAGCACCTCTGATACGGCATCGTCTATTGTGAGGTGCCCAAAAAGAGTCTCACCTGGCAACGCAGCACCTGTGATCCAACACTTCCTCCCCTTCTGTCTACCCCCTCTTCGCCATTGCCCCAACCATCCCCCCCTCCACCATTTCCCCGCCCCCCTCCTTCAGCAATATTCAGCTCATCTGTCAACGGATCTCCTTGTCCTGCTTTAAACATCTCCACCCTCCCAACTACTATGCACCACGCTTCGCCCCCATCAGCACCCCCTGCTGCCCTCCTCCCTCCCCCTCCCTCTGTGGAAATGCCACGTTGTTTAATGCCTGAAGCAAGGAGCTGAGGTCGAATAGTTGACGAGAAGAGCTCTGGCTCTTGAGCTGACTGGAAGGGGTGTGGTGCTTCGGTTGACTGGGAGGATCCCTCCAGTTTGGAGATGACTGAGGGGAGGAGGTGAGGCTGGGTGTGTGGGTATGAGAGGAACTCGTCTAGATCCAGGGCGGCGATCCAACGGTCACGGTTGCGCCGGGCCAGCATGAGGCAATGCTGGAAGGCAATGACTTGGTCGTAGAGCTGCGAGGAGAGGAGGAGGAGAGCGATTGGGGCGGATGCAAGGGGGGAGAGAAGGGTGGAGGGGGGGAGAGGGAGAGGAGTGAGGCTAAGTAGAGGGGTAAGCATGAGCCAATGCTGGCAGGCAATGACTTGGTCGTAGAGGTGTGAGGAGGGGAGGAGGAGAGCATTTGGGAGGGGGGAGGGAGGAGAAGTGGGGGGGGGGGGGGAGATTGGAGAATAGGGACGGCTTTGTAGAGCGAAAAGAGTAGCAGAAATCTATTTTTTAGGCGCCTTGAAAATAGGCAGCAGTCATAACAGGAGTACAAGAAGGGAGAGTAATGGTGAAAGCAACAGGGAGAGACGGGGAGGAAGCGGTGTCAGGCAAGTGGCTTTGGGTGCGGGCAGGTGGATTGGCGAACACAGAGGACAAACAGGGGGAATGACAGGCAAAGGAGAACTCAACCCGTCTACGAACCTCGGGGTAGGGAGGGCTGTCCGGCACGTGGGCTTGAGCGCGGGCGGGTGGATTGACGAACACAGAGGACCAATAAGGGAACGCCACGTGGACGACCAGCCCCTGGCGAATCCAGGGGCGCAGCAAGGGACGGGCGGCAGAGCCGAAGCGGTCATAGAGGTAGAAGCGGTGGACGCCGAGGAGAGTGTGGACGTCAAGCCACTCGCGGATGGACGCCTCGGGAAAAGATGTCTGATGGGGAGGGGGTGGGGGTGGTAGGTGGGTGGGGACAGACGGATTGAATGCGGTGGGAAGGGAGGAGCAGCAGAGCTGAGGCGGTCGTAGAGGTAGAAGCGGTGGACGCCGAGGAGAGTGTGGATGTGAAGCCACTCGCGGATGGACGCCTCTGGCAGGGATGTCTGATGGGGGGGGGCTGGGGTTGGTAGGGGGGAACAGGCAGAAAGACAGTGGTGGGAAGGGAGGAGCAGTGGAGCCAAGCGGTCGTAGAGGTAGAAGCGGTGGACGCCGAGGAGAGTGTGGATGTCCAGCCACTCATGCATGGAAGATTCGGGCAGAGTAGCCTGGAGGGAAGGGGATGGAAGGATGGGATGGATGCATGTTACTGGATGGCGATAGGGAGAGGAAAAAGAGGGAGAGAGAGAGGGTAAGCGGGCGAAGGAGGGAGAACCAGTGGGAAAGAGGGGGAAAGAGGCGGAAAGAGGGAGAAAGAGGGAGAAATACTGAGTCATTCACTCTTTCACTCCATGATTGAGAGAAAAAAAGGGGAAGGAGGGGGAGGGGGAAGAAGACAGTTGTTGTTCAATCATGCATTCTAACCTTGGTAGAGAACAGCCCGTGAGAGTAAAACGGCCGCACACAAACTGCCAAACCCTCCTCCTTTCTCGACCCCCCTTCACCACTCCCTTCTCTATCACGCCCCCCTCCTCCCCCACCTCCCCCCCGTCTCTCCCCCTCTCCTCTCCCCATCCTTCCTCCTATTCCCCTCCCCCTCCTTCTTCCAGCTGCTACTGCTGCTATCGCTGCTACCCCTGCCCCTGCCTTTGCTCCTCCTCCTGCGTCTGTTGCTGCAGCTGATTCCGCATCAGCAATGCCTGGAGGGGGAGGCAAAGGCTCCGTCCCACAAAGCAGTATCGGGTCCATCTGTAACGAGAACGCCCTTCCCTCCTGAGCCGGCACCAGCTGCACCTGCATCTCCCCCGCCCTCATCAACACATGCTCTGGGGGAACAGACAGCGGACACAGCAGCACCACATACCACGCCGTGCTGCCCCCGTCCCGGACCATCCGCTCCACTATAGGCGGATCCGCTTGCGCGATAGGGTCGTGGGAGGGCCAGAGCCGGCAGGAGAAGAGGGGCTGCTGAGGGGTGTAGAAGGCGCTGAGGGTGGTGCGACGGGAGGCTGTGCTGCGGGACTCTTGGTCTTCGAGAAAAGCGAGGATGCGTATCACAGGGACGGTGGAGGAGGGGGGTTCTCCTTGCCCCAGTTGCCAGGTACTACTGCCTACTTTCCCGCCTTTCTCTTGCTGCTCTTGCCTCGTTTTCTCCATCTGCTGCTGCAGCTGCTGCTGCTGCCTTTGATGAAAAGCTGTGCTTTTCAAGTGCACTTCTCCAAAAATCAGGTCTGGCTCCGGCTTCTCCTGCTGCTCCTGCTGCTTCTCTTTCTGCTGCTCTTGCTCCGCTTGCTTCTGCTCGCCTTGCTCACGCCCCTCCTCTCCCTCCACAACCGCCGCATTGAGGGCGAAGGCAGGCGGAACGTGCACCAGCTCAGCTTCAAAGACTGTCATCTCCACCACTTGGGCCTTCCCACGTGTACCCCCCACGCTCCTGGCCCCAGATTCTCCCACCCTTCCTGCGTCCCCTGCATTTTCGCTTCCCTGGCCTGCTTCCCCCTGAGCCCTGCCATTTGCACCTCCGGAGTCGCCGTGCAGGATCCAGCCCTTGAGGAACGTGGCGCTGGGACTCTCTCTGCTGCTGCTGCTGCTGCTGCTGCACATCCGCAGCTGTGCTCTAGGATCTGCCAAGTCATACAAGGGGTAGTCATGGTCATGGTGATGGTGATGGTGATGGTAATAGTTGTACTTGTTGTCGTTGCCTTCCTGGTCTTTGCGTTGACCCTCGCCTGCCCCATCAGCGTCCCCTGGACTCTTCTTACTGCCCTTTTGCTCCCATCTGCTTCGGAACAAGCCTCGGTTGCGCAGTCTCCGAGCCTGCAGGTTCGGCAGGTCCAAGGCAGCTCCTGCATCTGCCTCTGCCGCTCCGGCCCAAGCCTCCTCTCTTTCTGAGAAGATTCTGTAACGTTTGCGGGTATCCCATGGGCTATCTTCTCCCTCCGCTTCCTCTCCCCCATCCCCTTCCTTATCCGCCCAGATATCTTCTAGCTTTACCCCAACACCAGACTGTCTCTTGCGATTATAAGACCGTTTGATATAGCGTCGCCTCCGTTCCCCCCTGCTGAAATCTCCCAGGGAGGCGTATTCGTCACTGTACAAGGTGGTAACCACCACTAGCTGGTGGATTATGCTACCCAGAACGACCAGTAGGAGCACGCACATGGCGAGATTCGGTGCCACTCGGTACAGGTTCCTTCTCCATCTGTTGCTGGTTACATGGTAACCCTGTTGCTTGTGGTGGTGGCTGTGCTGGTGATGCTTCTTGCCGCCTGCACTGCTCTTCTTCTCTCGTTTACCCTCCTTATAGTCATCATCCTTATGGTCGTTATAATCACTGTAATCCTGCTTGATAGTTGTTGCTGCTGCTGCTTGAGCAACTGCAGCAGCAGTACTGCTTTCCCTGTAACTCATCCCCGAACCCAAGGCAGACGCAGTATTGCTGCTGCTGCTGGTGAAGGCAGTGGTCCGGGTGGTAACTGAGTTACCACAAGCAGAGGTTGGTGTGGTGCTGGCGATGCGTTTCACTGTGCTGCTGCTGCTAGGGATAACGGCACTGCTGCTGGGAATAGTGGGTATGCTGCCACGGGGAATTGCGTCCGTGCTGCTGGTTGTCGTGGGATTATTTTGAGGCGCCTCAAAAATTGGGAATAGTGGGTATGCTGCCACGGGGAATTGCGTCCGTGCTGCTGGTTGTCGTGAGATTGCTAGTGGCACAGCCACTTCTGCTCGTGCCCATCGATGGAACATCTGATTTGTTTGCTGCAGAGGTGACGGACTCGATTGCTGTACATTCTGAAACGGCTGCTGCAAAATCACTTGACAGGACTACTGTAGATGTGCCAGGTGTCCTTGGAATACGGTTGCTTGGAGCAGAGTCGACGCACTCCTTTGGTTAAGGGGTGACTGATGTCGTTGATGCAGATTCTGAAACGGCTGCTGCAGTAGCACTTGACTGTAGATGTCCCAGATGTCCTTGAAATACGGTTGCTTGGAGCAGAGGCGACGCACTCCTTTGGTAACGGGGCGACTAATGTTGTTGGTGCAGATTCGGCTGATACAGCTGCTGCCGAAGCACTTGACTGAACTGCTACAGTGGATATCCCAGATGTCCTTGGAATACTTCTGCCAGCTGCAGAGGTGACGCACTCCTTTGGTAACGGGGCGACTGATGTGGTTGGGGCAGATTCTGTCACGGCTGCTGCAGAAGCGCTTGACTGGACCATTGTACATGCCTCGGATGTCTGCTTTTGAGGCGCATCAAAAGCAGATTTAGACACAGCTGCTGCAGAAGCGCTTGACTGAAGCATTGTACATGCCTTGGATGTCTGCTTTTGAGGCGCATCAAATGCAGATTCTGACACGGCTGCTGCAGAAGCGCTTGACTGGACCGTTGTACATGCCTTGGATGTCTGCTTTTGAGGCGCATCAAAAGCAGATTCTGACACGGCTGCTGCAGAATCGCTTGACTGGACCGTTGTACATGCCTCGGATGTCCTCGGGATAATGCTGCTGAATGGACGAACACTGGGGCTGGACTGTGAAATTTGTTGCTGTTGCTGCTGCTGCTGCTGCTGCTGCTGCTGCTGCTGCTGCTTCTGCTTCTCCTCCATTTCCTCCTGCTGCTGCTGCTGCTTCTGTTGCTGCTGTTGCTGCTTCAGGCCTGGGAGTTCTGCCTAAGATCACGTTCAGGCTCTGGAGACCCCACAGCCGGGGCATCATCTCCTCTCCCGACGACACTCGCCGGATAGCTCAGGCTCTTTTGAAATGTCTCAGACTCCTGTTGACGTGCTTCCCTGCTTGCGTGGTACTCTGAGGCAAATTCAGCAGATTGAACCTTGGGGCTTGTGAGATTCTTTCTTTCTTTCACCGTCACGGTTCAGCTGGTCGCTGCAGCACGGGACGAGGATTCTGCTGCTGCTGCTTCCTGCAAAGTGGATTCCGAATTCGAGTTCTTATTTGAAGCCTGGCTTATTACGGATATTGCCGCTGAAACATCAGGTTTTGAATTTCCAGGTTGCAAGTCAGCAAGCTCAGGAGAAGCGCCTGATTTCTGGGCTCGGTAGGTACGGAACTGGCAGGAGCAGCTTTGATGCTGCTGATTATTGGAAATTCGGATTTGTTATCAGCAGTTTTGCTGCTGTTATTAGTCGACATTCTTACCCCCAGGCTAGTGGAAGCACACTCCGGGAAGACGACTCATTGAGAAACGAGCTAACTAAGAGATTATTGTTAGTGAAGTCAGTGACCTGATGGTGCTAAGTGGGCTCAGTTCTGGAAATAAATCATTCGCTCCATTTTGTAGCCACTCAAGAGACTCTGCTTGTTGGGGGCCATTCTTCGCATGTGGCAGCCCGCTTTGTGGCAAGGTTTAATACGGTCAAGATTGTCAAAAAGGAGATTTTGGATGGTCCTGCACGATGACAGTGAAACATATGTTAGAAATGCGCCCTGGGGTGCTGTCAGTGGGTGCACACTGCACACAGGACGGACGAATCAATTGTGAATGGACAAGCAAGGCAGCTCATTTTGATGTAGTATTACACTGCGAACTGCAGCCCTACCTTGTTATCTCATCAGATAATCCAGACTTTTATTACGGGCAGTCAGATCTGCCCAGAAAGATATGATGAGCCCGCGTTGGCCCATGCCAGCTCATCCCCACCCACCATTGGGATTTTCATCCAGCCCACTTTCGCTGCGATGGCGATCATCCAGGTTCGGTCAAAACCTTCGCAGACCTTCCCAGATTCGTTCGCCACTGCCCTGCGCTTATCGTGCGTCTGTCCGTGCATGACGCTGGGCGTGCGAAACCGGGCAGATGGGTACAGTCAGCAGAGTGAAGAGCGAAACCAAACCCTCGCCATATCCTTTCGGCATGTCTCGCTTGTGTCCTTTCAAACCCTCGCCGCAAGTGCGAAACCCTCGCTAGCTGCTATCCACATCTCGCCGATCCCTCTTTCAGACCCTCGCCAGCTCTACTCAGACAATCTGAAACCCTCGCCGATCCATTTCCCCCCCTCGCCAACCCATTTCTCCTTCGCCTGGTTCTTTGCCTCCCCTCATTTCCAGCAACTCTTCATTTCGCCTTCCTTGTCTCTTCCTTTCGCGTAATCTCTTCCTTTCGCGTAGACTCTCGCTCGTTTCGCCTGCCTTTTCTCGCCTCAGCCAGCGAAGAAAATATTTCCTGGTTCTGACTCTCCCCCCTCCTCGCCCAACCTGGCGTCGCTAAACTCTGCCATGGCGATTCGTTTCTCCCCAGAGGAGCTCAAAGGGGAGCTCCTCAGGGTGAGACGCGAGCTAGCTCATTTGGATACACTTTTGGATCGCACTTTCAGGGACATTGAGGCTGCGAGTGAACATGGCGAGAGGGATCGCATGGATGATGCGAGAAATGTACGACAATGTCTGTGGAAGGACAAGGAGCAGTTACGATCACAAGAGACGATATTTCTGAAGCTTTTGTTTGATCCGAACTCCGTTGGCGGAAATCCCGGGGAAAATGGAGCGCCGACTGGTGGCACGCCCTTCCCCCCACAGTTTTCCGTTGATGGTAAGGCATCTTCTCGTGAGCTTCCCTCTCTCGTGTTGTATTGGTAATTTTCAACTATTTTCCGTTCTCTCGTTTATTCCCCTTCGTTTTAACGATGTATCGCGTTGCTTGTGGATGTTTTCTTCCCGCGACAGGTTCGCCGATGCCGATGATGGGTCATGGAGATCCGTCTCGGATGCTCCACTCGGTATTTACGCCTCCATCCATGCTTGGCGTTAAGCCGGGAAAGTTGAAGATGCGACGCAACAAGCTCGCTTCTCCCGGCCTGCCGACTTCCATGTCTGACGGAAAGTCTCCATCTGGTTTCGAGTCTGACTTCGCTAATCCTTCCGGATACGAAGTCAACCGGAGTGCAGAGTGCAAGGTTCGCGACGTATGGCTCGAATGGAAGGAAGGGCTGAACGGTTTTCCTTCAATCGAGAAGCTTGAAGAAGAGAGGAAGAAGGACCGGAAGAAAGTTTGGTGGAAGAATATGAATGACTACAAATATTGGAGCAAGCAGGTCGGTATCGTCCTTCGACATCGTTTCTTTTTTTCCTGATCCTGACCAGTAAACATTGCATTTTGCTCCGGCTTATATCGTTGTTTAATCGTAATTCGTTTTCGATGATCGGTGCAGATGAGGATTGTTCATGCTGTAGAAGAAAAGGCTCGCGAGCTTGGTGGGGATCTTGACGCCAGCATTAACTTCTGGGAGGACATTCTCCGAGAGGAGTTTGACGGAAGTGTGTCGAAGCTTCGCGAAGCGCTAGGAGGCCAGAAGACGAACGAAGAAGACATTGGCCGTTTCAAGAAGCGATGCCGGGACCTGCTGCAGAAGGGATTGCTTCGGATGGCTAAGAAGAGGCAGATGTCACACCAGCCGTCCGATCAGCATCATGCGCATCAGCAACAAGTCTTGCACCAGCAGCAGATGATGGAAATGCAGCAACAGACTTTTACTCAAGCTGTTCAAAGCGACATGGTTCACATGGGAGCCATGGCCATGCCTCACGATCCAAATGCACTTGCGAAACATGAAGGCCAGCACGAAGCTTCGCAGCAGCAGGTTCTGGAAGACAGCATGTTACACGAAGCTGCTGCAGCTGCTGCTGCTGCTGCTGCAGCGGCGCAGGGTCAGCTGGATAATGGCGTGCTACTCCTGCAGGGAACGCACGGGCTGCAGCAGATGCCTGGCGGAAGTCAGGCAGTGATGCAGGCACATGGCGACGAGCAGCTTGAAGACGCTCAGGAGCAGCTGCAGCAGCAGCAGCAGCAGCAACAGCAGCAGGAGCAGATGCAGCAGCAGATGCATGAAAATGGGCTCATTGCTGCTTCCATGCATGCTGCTGCACAAGCAGGGCATCCTGAGGAGGAGGAGCATGGTGCAGGGGAAGAAGATCAGCATGCTGAGGATGAGGAGCATATGCATGAGGATCATCATGGGGTGGTGGAGGAAGGAGATGAGGAATTGGAGGGGGAAGGCAGGGGAGAAGATGGTGAGGGGGGAGAGGAACATGTGCAGTAGGAGAGACCGTAAATAGTGGGGTGGGGTGGTAGTTGCACTGCTGGTGCCTACACACCTGCATGATTACCTTCAACCTTGTTTTGTGCACCTCTTCTTTTAGTTCTGGCCTGTTTTTTTCAATAATGACTACTAATGGAAGTCTCAGTTAATGGATAGCCGTAATCCCTTCACAGTTGTCAATTCTCGCTACATTTGATAATTCTATTTCAACCTGTCACTGACGAAACATGTTCAATTCAATGCCCCTTCCCTGAAGTGGATGCTCATGCCATGAAGCTAGACCAAGAGAAAATGAAACCTGTACATGACACCACTTCCGCTTCCATCTACAGTATACATCTTAGCCTAGTGTCCCTCTTTCAGTATTCCCCACACGTCCACCACCCCACCAGGAAACGAGTGATCCGTTGCTGCTCTGACTGCAACAGAGGCAACGGCTGAGACTGGAACAGGTGGCACTAGGGCTGGGCCAACTAGGGGCAGGTGTGAGAGAAAGGGGAGATTCTTGAAAACCTGCAGAGGAGAGGGGAGAGAGGGCAGAGAAGCAAGGGATGGGTGAGAGTTCAATGGCAGTTTTGACTGCGGTTGCGGAAACGTCAGGAACTGAGGCAGGAACAGGGGGCACTAGGGCTGGGCTGACAAGGGGCAGGTGAGAGAGGAAGAGGAGATTCTTCAAAATCTGGAATTGCAAGTGGTGAGTAGATGGGGCAGAGGAAAATGTTTCAGTGGCAGTTTTTTCGACTACAACTGAGGCAACAGCAGCAGAGACAGGCACACGGGACACTAGGGCTGAGCTGACAAGTCACAAGAGGCAGGTGATAGCGGAAGATTTGATTCTACTTCAAGACCTCAGGCCTTAAAACAAGCTCTTTCTCACCAGTTCCAAGGAAGCGTCAATCAGGCTGCGAGGTAGGCGGTAGGAGCCAGCACTGCGAGTGCCGTGGATCATGCGGGACCGAGAATGAGATGACTAAGAATGACTCTTATGGGGAGGCAACGAGAGTCCTTCTCTCTCACTCACTCACCAGTTCCAAGGGAGCGTCAATCAAGCTGAGAGGGAGGCACTAGCAGCCGACAGTGCGAGTGCCTCGAATCAAGGCCAGACGGAGAATGGCTCTAAGGGCAAAGTACTTCACTGTATCTCTTACCACTTCCAAGGGAGCGCCGATCAAGCTGAGAGGTAGTCGGTAGGAGCCAACATTGCGAGTTCCATGGATCATGGCTGGACGGAGGATGACACCTGCGAAATGATTAGAAGAGATGTGGGGCAAGGTGGGTGTTTTTGAGAATTAACACCCTTAGACGTGCGGAAACACCCTTAGAAGAGATTTGGGGCAAGGTTGGTGGGTATGTGGAGTGGAGACGTGCGGGAATGGTGGTTATCTGGAGACATGGCGGAAGCTGGGAAGTCATGGGACAGAAACACGGATAGAGACTATTTTTGAGGCGCCTTTTTTTTAGGCGCTTATTTTTGAGGTGCCTATCTGGAGACATGGCCTAAAAAAATGTCATGGGACAGGAACATGGATAGAGAGCCACGCAGATCCGGGAGTCGTAGACGGATTACAGGTGGGCTGCGGAGGCCTTATTTCCATCAAGTCTGTAGGGTAGTACAACAAAACGTGGATAGAGAAACATGCAGATCCCGTAGGACATGTTGAGTAGTCTAAAAAACCAACTTACCCTGTAGGACATGTTCAGAATTCTCAAAAACCAACTTACCCCGTAGGACAGAAGCACATGGACAGTGGGGGCTGTATGTTGAGTCGACTCAAAATCCAGCGGGCTGGATCGGGCTTTTGAGCTGACTCGAAAGAAAACATGGCACACGGATATTCTTGTGCGGTAAGCTGTCAGCTCTGCGTAATTTTTTAGGCGCCTCAAAACTAGACTTGAGCCACGAGCATGTGCACGCCTGTGCTGCATGTGCACACCTGGGCTGCATGCGCACACCTGTGCTGCATGTGCACACCTGTGCTGCATGTGCACACCTGTGCTGCATGTGCACACCCGTGCTGCATGTGCACACCCGTGCTGCATGTGCACACCCGTGCTGCATGTGCACACCCGTGCTGCATGTGCACACCTGTGCTGCATGTGCACACCTGTGGTGCATGTGCACACCTGTGCTGCATGTGCACAACTGTGCTGCATGCGTACACCTGTGCTGCATGCGTACACCTGTGCTGCATG